AACTTCTACGTCTGTGGTGATGCGGCCAATATGGCGCGGGAGGTGAATGTGGTGCTGGGGCAGATTATGGCGGAGCAGCGCGGGCTGGCACCGGAGAAGGGAGAGGAGTTGGTTAAGCATATGCGGAACAATGGGTCATATCAGGAAGATGTTTGGTAGTGATTGCGAATATGATTGTGATGGGTTTTTTTTCTTTTTCTTTTTCTTTTTTTTTGGGGGTTATTGTTCTGGTATCCATGGATGATGTATAGCATGTGGCATGGATGGATGAGATATATATTTTAGAGTGGGGTATATAGACTGCATCGGGGTTTCCCCTGTGATTTTTGCCCCTCATTCTCTTTGTTATGTTTATCTCTCTGTCTCTATATTCCTCTTTTTTTCTTTTCTCTCTCTCTCTCTCTCTCTCTCTCTCTCTCTATCTCTTTTTAATGTCCGTTTTAAGCTGTCTTTCTTCCTCGTTTTTAGCCCGCATATATGTTTATATATATGAATATAGCAAAATATCTTTTTGGTGTCATCTTGGCTTCCTTCCTTTTGTTCTTGGTTCATGTATTAGTTTGTTTTATTTCTAGATATCTAACGACCACTGTAGAAATGCTCTTAGAATGAATGGAATGAATTGTTATATTGAGGTTCTCAATTGAACTGAACCCAACAAAAAGTATCACATGATCAAAGTTAGTGCCAAAAAAAACCCACCAGTGCACCTTTGGTCTGTTCTCTCATTCTCATCCATAACAAATCGGCCAGTCTTTAATAATTAATGTTAATGTTGTCGAGATGGATCAGGCAAGTCTTCCGCGGGGTAACTCCGTTCCCCTGGAAATGCAGTCTGAGGAACCCCGTATCAAAACTCTCGGGTTACCCACGACGTATTATAATTTCATTTTGTCGTCCAAACTAGTTATCCTATTGCGGGTGTCTGTAGAAGTGGATAGTAAGGTTTTGTTGTCTCCATTGTAGTCTATGTGGCCTCTTGGCCTGCCGTCTTTTTGCCTTCGGTTGATGTGAAGGGTTCCGCTCCGTTTCACTGGGCGCCCCGAGTATGGGGGTACGGAAGTATTTACTGCTGAATTCCACTCTACGGCTGTTTTTTTAATATAGGAGACTCTTGAAGGTTTAATAAAAGGGTGAAAAATGAAATGGATATAGGTAATGATGGTTGTTTAGCCCGGTCCTGAAAGTTGTCGGAAGGGTATAGCATTGGTCAACGGGTGTTTGTGAGTGGGTGGGATGCTCTTCGGTTCTTCATATTTCCTATCTTCTGTGGGCTAGAAGCACCTGGATATATCTGTGTGGTGTCCAAGAAGAGACATGGCGCATCTGAAAGATCTCCCTGGACCAGACCCTCCCAGGGAACTATTGTTCGCCATGTTGTTCTATTTCTATGGGATACTGGTATAGCTCGATGGTCCTTCCCGCCGCAGCTGCTTTTCTTCTTCGTTATGATATACCCTGGTCCTGTCTGGCCATATTTTGTGTATCCGTCACCGATGGTATGGTTAGGCCAGATGTTGTTGAGAACTATCTGCCTTAAAGACCGAGTGTCTTTATATTCAGATATAATAACACCATGTAGTTTGGCATATTGCAGCTATATGGGTGCTGTTTCTTAGATGGGCTAAATGACTCCGTCAGCATTTTCTCTCTCCCTTGACTTTTTATCACGCCTCCTAGATCTCCCGTGGCAGGCATCTTGCATCCTAATGGGGTCCTTCTTGCATGATTTTATGAGGTCTTCTTTCCATCGATGGAGAATTGACCGAGTCGCCTTCTCTCTTTCTCAGGATCTTCAACTTTTGACGAAGGAATTCCTCTCTGCCCTCATACAAAGCCAGAGATGTTCTTTCTCGCAGTCTCTGTGTAAACAGTGTCAGCAGGTTATCTGAAAAATAAACAGCTGATATTACAGTAACAATATCAATACGGAAGGGCTACTGAGGTATCCGAAGCAGGTTGCCCCTGTACTTGCCGTGCAAAAGCCAGTGCTGGCCTTCCCCTTCTCTGTTGAATGACTGACTCTCAGGTACATTTACATACCTACAAACATGTCAGCTGATATCTTTCCTCTGTCTTCAATCTCACAGCAACAGGGAGGGTTGTGGTGCCATCACAACTGGTCAAACGAGCCAACAAGGCACTGTGAATAGGTACTGTTTGTGTTGTTCCTGTGAAGTGACTGTCCTGCATAGGCGGCACCGTTGGCTTCAGTGTTGTTGGTGTTGGTCTAAAGTGCACTTTCCCCCTTTTCCCTTCCCCCTTAACCACCATCCGTCCTCTCTAAGTTATATAAACATCCATCCTCGACCTCACCTCTTCCTCTCTTCTTCATCTCTTCCACTCCCTACCCCCGCCATCCTCATCCTCAGCCCCATCATTCATCCCAGGCACTCCCTCTCGCTCTTCTCCACGTCATAATCATCATCATCATCATCATCGAGACAGCCAGCTTCCGCTCGCTTCTCCTTATCCCCCAACGTTCCCCCTTTATCCATCTCTACGATCTTCATTCCTCCAGCTCTCAGCTTGCAGTTCCATCGTTCTTCATTGTTGTCTTCTATTCGTTTCCTACATCGTTTTGCTCTCACTACTTCTTCCGTCTTTCGAGTTGTTCGTTCTGTGTTTTTTTTTTCTCATCTTCTTTTTCGTTTGTATCTTCTGTATCCTTCGTACACCCTACATCCACGGCCTTTCCTGGGTTTCTCTTCCATATCCAAAGGGCTTGTTTGTTTAGGTGCAGTATTCTATTTATCTCGTCTCATTTGATACGTGTTTGCTTGTTCTTTTCTCCTTTGTGTATACTAACATGAATATCTTCGAGAAGCTCGGTATTCTCACTGCAAAGCCTCAACTCAACGAGCTGTCTTCTAACCCAATTAACCGGGTAGGTGCCAATACCTGTCTCCATCCTTGCACTTTCTATTGTTGAAGCATTCCTTCTTAACCTTTACCTTATCTGTGTATATGTATGTATACTGTGAATTTGTCATTCAATGCCGCCTCCTCTTCTGAAGCTATTGGTTTGATATGGACCCGTTTAATGCTTGTCTCTCCCTTTATCTCATAGAGCTAAAGTCTCCAAGATCTCCCAGTTCCGTGCTTCATTTGTCCAGTTAATTTTTCAGCTGCATTGCTAACGTCTTTGTTCACCGCTGTAGAATCGACCTTCTGCTAATATGCAAGCCCAAACCTTGCAGCAGCATACGGCTGGTGAAACTGGTTCCGTTCACGGACAGAACCACGGAGTCTATAACCAAGAACACCAGAATCGTTACTACCAGCAGGTTTCTCAGCCTACTGTGGTCAATGGAAATATGAGAGATTCCAACATGCAGACGATCACCCATGCCGTTGGCAACATGAACTTGCAAAACCATCGTCCTGGTGGCAAGTTTGGTGATTTCAAAGGAAATATCCATGTTCCACATGGTGCTAACGGTGATATGGCTGCCATGCAGCGCCCTCATTACAATGGGCAATACCTAATAGTGCCTAATGGAAGTATGTTCGGAGGTATACCTGCTGCAAATCAGTATGGACATCCCCGTATTCAAGCTGCTGACCAAGGTACTTCAGTCCCATATTTGCCTACCGGAATATACCCGAACTTCGTGACTGGCCCTTCAGTGGTTCCTGGTTCTGTTCCAGGCTATACCTGGCCTTATGCTATGAATGGGGAGGCTGCTGATCTCTCCGGTCCTCGTCGTGATTCATGGTCCTCTGTCGAGGAAAACCATCCTTGTACTCCTGGAGTTGACCAGCCTGGGCAGCAAGAGTGTTATCCTGCAGTTGCACCAATGGATCGTTCCCCAATGCTATACAATTACAGCACACCATCCCCGTCAGTGGTGCAGCAGCCCTACTTACCCTTTCAGATGATGAAGGGCGCCAACGGCTATGTGTTGCAGGATCTTGATGCCTTGACTCAACAGGATCCTCCAATCCCTCGTGCAGTGCCTGCCATGTGGACCAACCCCTCAGACCTGACTCTCGCAAAGTGCCTGGAGAATAGAGAGGGGATTACCAATGTCTATATCCGTGGTTTCCTTCCTGAAACAACCGATGAAATGTTGCATGCTTATGCATCTCGGTTTGGCAAAATTGACCGTTGCAAGGCAATCGTTGACCTTGAAACAGGCCTCTGCAAAGGGTTTGTGCTTCCTCCCCATCTATTTCCGGTCTTGGGTCAAATTACTAATTCCCTATATAGATTCGGATTTGTTCAGTTTTTCAGCTTTGATGCCTGTGAAAACTGTATTCGAGGCTTCTTTCATCTAGGCTATCAGGCCAGCTTTGCCCAAGTATGTTGGAATTCTGCAAATGCTTATCTGCTTTAGTTCAAAACAACTAACAGTATATAGAAATCTCGTAATTCTCGACTTAAGGATCTTGAGGATAAGTGTTCTACTAACGTCTATTGCACTAATGTACCCATCGACTGGGTGGAAGCGGTTCGTTCACCCTAGTGTTTCTGCTGTCGCAACGCTTTATGGTGTTTTTGCTGATATTGGATGAAAGGATCTTCGTCGCCATTTTCAACCATATCAAGTTGTATCCGAGAAGATTAGCCGCGATGAGAAAACTGGCGTCAGTAAGGAGGTTGGATTTGCCAGGTGTGTTATCCCTTGTTATCCTGTGCTTATTTGGCCTTTCAGGAGTGCTAACAAATGCTATCCTCTCTAGATTTGAGTCCCGCGAAATTGCGGAGAAAGTATTATCTCAGTTCCACAATGTTACCGCCAAGGATGGAGTCAAGCTTCTCCTCCGCTTCGCAGACACTAAAGCACAGAAACATCTTAAGATGCAGAGTAACGAACGTCGTGCATATCGTGCTGGCGAATACAATTATTCTGTCGAGATGGTTAATGGCTCTACCCCGTCACCAACCCTTCAACGTCTACAGCAGGCAGCCTCTCATTTCAGCCCAAACTCGCAGGCAAGCTTCCCTTCTCCGTTGGGAGTTGGTCCTGTCTGGACTCCGGCAACCTCCATTTCTCCACCGTAAGTTTACCTACCCTTCCATTCCTCCCAGTTAACAGAGCTGACAAACGTGATAGTGGCCCGATGATGAACAAGTCTGTCAATGGTCTTCGTCTTAACTCCTGGGCGGCACGCAGCAACGTAAATATGGAGAACACCCCAAGCTACCGCAGTCGCCCATCTCTCAATACTCAAGGCTCTTATGGAGACAGCCTCTCCACTGGCTCTTCCAGGACTGTCATGCCCATTCCTCCTGGTGTGACAAAATCTGAAAATTCCAGCCCCCGAAAGGAGAATTACCGTGCAGGATCTAGTTCTCCTCTAGGTTGCCGTAAGGAATATATGATTGCTACCCCAAAATCCTCTACTTAATGGCCCAAAGAGGTGGTTGACTTTGTCTTGGTCCACAATCAGCTCTCGGTGGAAGGTTAATTTGATGAACTTTGTCTACAAATTTCCAACGAGGGCCTGTGCTCGAATCGGATCGCCAGTCACATGCAGTTACGATTAATGGATAACGACTCCCAGTAAGATAACAAAAGTGTTGTATTGAAATATTCCGCATCAAGGTTAAAGATATCCAGCAATTCTTTTATCTGTTAACTTTGATGAGAAAGTAAGTCTTTTACTCAATGTATGCTCAGGAACGATATCCATGCTTGCTATTCTTTCCTGGCCCACACTCTCTAGCGTTGCATCTTTTGTCTATGCCAATTGCCACCAGAATGTTTGAAGAATGTTTTGACGTTTTCTGTTTCAACTTATGGAAGCATCTCTAGCACTACATACTACCATGTCTGCTATTATGAGATGATGATGGATGATTTTATGACGTTACGAAGTCCGGTCAATGAATGGCTGTGTTATGTTATGACGAGACGAAATTTATGGGTCAATTGCCCTTATTTTCTCTAGCTTTTAGCTTGAGATGTTTACGAGTATCAATAAATTAAGCAAAACTTTCCTTGTCAAACCGGAAGAAGATATATTCGCCTTGGATTTTGAAATAGCTCATATGAATCGTAGTGTGAGAATTATATGGTCATGGATCATTCTGTTGGCATTCGTGGGGCTAAGTAACATCCCTGAGTGTCTGAGTAGAACGACTAGGCTAAATAACAGCATCAAGAAGCAAAGCTTTTCTGGATACACCGCTGGTAGTCAGTTAACTACCCAGATAGTTAATCATCTAGCAGCCCATCTGCTCCGACACCCAGGAGTCGGGACAGTGGCAACGCCATTCTGCCATGTCTCCTTCTGGCACATGCATACAATTGGGAGAAGAGTAGAGTATAGAAGTACTCCATGCAGAATGTGTCAATATGTGGAAATTCTTTTAGGTTTGTAACAGATAGTAACGTAATCAACCACCCAACGCCCGTTTACACCCAACGCCCGCTCAAATCTTCATTTTTCATTCATCTTTAACCACCCATAACATGCACCACGAAGCAGTTATACAAGCCGCGATTGATGATTTGAACGCGCAATTAACGCCTAATTACACTGAGACCTCTAAAAAATATGGAATCAGCCGATATACGTTGTCAAGGCGTTATAGAGGCGTTCAAATGTCAAGAAAGGAAGCAAGCTCTATCCACTGCAAAGCTCTCACTGATTCGCAAGAAAAACAACTCCTTTTTCATATCAATCAATTGGCAGATCGCAGTTTCCCTTGTACGCCCCAAATCCTTCATAATCTTGTTGTTGAGATTCTAAAAGCACCTATTGGAGTCAACTGGGTGGCTCAGTTCTGCGAGCGCCACAAGGATGTGATCAAGTTGCTCTACCTGCGAAATATTGGCCAAAAATGCAAGATTGCAGACAATTCTGCATACTTCAAACATTATTTTGATCTTGTAATGGATTTCTTTCTTATACTGCTTTTTTAATTCTCATCTTGCTAATTTATCTTAATTTTTCAGCTGCAGGCCAAAAAAATCACGAAATACAACCTTGAACCTGCGAATATCTACAACTTTGATGAGAAAGGATTCCTATTAGGATTCATTCACACCCTCAAACGTATTGTATCGATTAATTCGCTCAAATCGGGCCGTATGATAGGTGCCAGCCAGGATGGCAGTCGAAAATTCAAAACACTACTTGCCTCAATTTGCGCAGATGGAACTTCGCTCCCACCTGCTCTCATATATCAAGGGGAATCAAGAGATATGCAAGATACTTGGCTCGAAGATTTTGATAGTGAAAAGGATCAGGCCTACTTCGCTGCTTCAGAAAATGGGTGGAGCAATGATGAATATGGGTTAATGTGGTTAAAGAAGATCTTTGAACCTCTTACAAAAAAGAAGGCAGGCCGCAGATATAGACTTCTTATATTGGATGGCCACTCATCCCATGTTAATATGGCATTCATCAATTACGCAGATCAGAATCGAATTCTACTCACTGTCTTTCCTCCCCATTCTACACACTGATTACAGCCGCTAGATGTTGGGATATTTGGACCATTGGGTAAATCATATTCCAAACAACTGAATGAACAAATGAGAACTGGAATGGGATTCATACGCACTACAAAGAGGTCTTTTTGGCAGCTTTTTGACACTGCGTGGAAGGAGGCAGTTACATCTTCAAATATTGAAGCTGCATTTGCTGCTACTGGCCTACATCCATTCGATCCGGAACGCGTTCTTAAAAAGCTTCAAATACGACCTTGCACCCCCCCTGACGCAAGATATCAACCAAGAACACCTACTTCTATTGTTGGCCTGTGGAAATTGGTGAAGCAAGTCAAGCAACAGCAGCATCAAATATCTAATGATCTCAACTGGGTGATCCGTGCAGGGGAAAATCTTGCTCTTGATAAAGAGGTTCTTTTAATAGAGAATCGGCAGCTTCAAAAAGCTCTTAATCAAGAGAGGAGACATTGCAAGTGTGGCAGGGCAATGGGGTTGCTAGATCCCTTGAATCCATCATTGGCGCAGTTCTTCTCGCCGGCAAAGATGCAGAGCATCCGCGAGAATTTGGCGGCCTCAGAGGTTGCCAAAAAGGATGAGCAAGCTCGTAAGGAGGATGCAAAGCTGCAACGCACTATTCTTAAGGAACAGAAGGAGGCAGATATCATCCAGCAGAGGATGGAGCGGGAGGCAGCTCGCCAGGCCACAAAACAGCAAAAGGAAATGGATAAGGCCGCAAGAGCTGCTCAACGGCAGATTGACAAGGAGCTTAGAGATGAGAAAAAGGCTCAGGAGCAAAAAGAAAAGGAAGAACGAGCTGCTGTACGGCTACAATCACAATTGAATAAGAAGATGATTGAAGAATTCAAAAATCACCTTACTAATCGGGAAAGTAGACCCTTGATTTCGCAAAGAGTGGCTAAATCGCGTTTTCAGAGCCCTGCCAGGGTGCCCACAGATCCACTGCCAGAGGGATATGACGATATTGCAATCTCTACTGGTTTAATGACTGCTTGCTCGCTGAATCTGCCTCCACCCAAGATTTCATGTTTTTATATGTAATTTTCTATATATATTTTCATCCTATAATATATCATCTTAAAATCTAATTGCGTTGTTGAAATAACGTTGAAAATATTTCATCATAGTGATGGCGAAATGGCGGGCGTTGGGTGTAAACGGGCGTTGGGTGGTGGATTACGTTAACGATTGAAATATCTATCCAAGGGATTAGAAAATTTCCCAAGACTTAACACAAACAACACCAATCCGGCAAGGTTTCCTTTCTATCTCTCACACTCCTAAATAATGGAATACCTCAAAATGATAAATGGCGCTTTCTCCGGCGCAATAATATATAATTTTCACAAGTTCATTTTATTGCTCAAATACATTCGTTAAACTTAAAAATAAACATAAGATTTAAATAAAATATTAATTCCAATTCTGAAATTAAAAATTAAAAATTAAAATTGTATATATATATTTCACATAATTTATTCATTTGCATAACCGGCAAAAACTACACTCTTTTCGGTGGAGTGCGTAACTAAGGGCTGGGGATCTTCCTATGAAAAAGGAGCATTTCTGCTCGGTATGGATGCAGCCTGGGGGGGGGAGGGGCTTGTGGTCACTCCTGTCTACTGCTCTGCCATTGCCCCTCTTCCAATGAGCTTTTGGGTTCTTAACGAAAATATATACGGGTGAAACACAGTAGAGGAGGGAGGAAGGAAGGAAAAGGAAGTGAAGAAGTCACTGTCTAAGTGTACTTGGGAGTCTTTTTTGGCCGGCATTTTCCACCGACACGCTCTGCTGATACCAATATTAAATTGGACGGAACTATTGACAGTGAATAGTAAGAATTGTGGTGTCGTAAGTAATATATAATGGTTGGTATATGGTTGTCATTGATAAAACTCTATAGGATGTATTTATGCTATGGGTGAAAGATAAAATATTGCATGTTGAAGAGGAATCTATGTGTTTTGTTTTATCCAATGAGGGTATATATATATTTAGACGTGGGTAGTAGGGAGTTCATGCAAATCTGGGTGTGTACGGGGATGTCGCGTAAGTTGTCTATCAGCAACGAAGGTTGAAATTTGGGTAGGATAGCCTGGACTGCTCGCGAAGCGTTTCTCTAGGGCTAGTTATTTTCACGAAGAGATAAAGAATGGTATATATCCTCAAGCCTAGTCCCGTCCCAGCCGCTCTTCCTCATCATCCATAAGTTCATAAGCCGGTCTATATCTAGCCTTTCTATGTTGATCATCATCTGAATCCTGATCCCTGATCTGCAACTTCGGGTTCGGATGCGTATCATTCATCCCACCTAGGCTGGTATATCCCTCGTCGTACAGAGGACAATACTCAATTCCCAGATGTCGAATAAACGCCCATATCTCCGCATAATGCCAGTCGATCACGGGATGTATTCGCATAAAGTCCGGCCAGCCGTGATCTGTGCGGTCAAAATGTGTTAATTTCTCGCCGTGAGGATCTGTGCGGCGGGTACCAACAAATATAGCCCGGATTTGGGGGTGGAGGGATAGGTAGGAGGTAAATGCGCTGCGGATTGTGGCGTGCGGGGGGTTTGTGGTATAGCAGACTAAGGAGAGGTGGTAGGCGTGAGAGGAGGACGCGACGAAGTCCTCGACTGATCGGAAGGGGTGGTGTGGCTGCGCATAGATGGCTGGGATTGTGGATGGAGGGCTGGAAGTGGAGGATTTTTTTCTATTGTCACCGGTTGCTGTTTTGGTGGCCGCGGGGAAAGGGTGGAGGCTGGCCAGGAAAAGAATGAGCATCACTAGGCAATCCTTCCCGCCATTGTAGGAGAGGGAAAGATCTTGGAGGGAAAAGCGATGGAGGGCTTCTTGTATGACACGGAGGGAGGTGCAGGTTCTGTTCTGGACTCTATGGAGGATGCTTGTTGGGTCGTGGGATTCGGAGAGGAATGAGGATACTTGTTCATGGAGGCGGGCGACCACTGTGGAAAGGGGTGGGTGGGAGTGCTCTTCGTGGAGCTCTTTAAAGGCATGCATAGCCGGCTGCTCTGCCTGCGTAGATAGGGACTGGGATTTTGCAGTGATGGTGTTGGTAGTTGACGGGCGTCGTGGGTCGGTGGAGATTACAGATATCGATACATTTTGTTGTGATATACAGCTTTCCTTGGCGGATTCAACACTGTTTGGAAGTCGTCTGTCTCCGGCCGCTATGGAGGACAGAGAATTGGTCATGGCAGTGAGCTGGGTTCCGCAGGCCGGGTTAATGGAAATATATATATTGAATGCTGGAAAGGTATCAATTAAAGCGTTTTACGGAACGAGGAGAGAATGTGCCGTGATGACTGCGCTCAGAGTGCAGTGGACAAGGAGAGGGTAATATGGTGATTGGGGGATCTGGGAACAAGATCCGTGGACGAGGTTTGGGGTCCTATTCTCCTAACTCGGCCCGGTCCAATCTTTTTGCCGTTTCCGTTTCCTTTCTCTTTTTTTAATTTTTTTATTTATTTATTATTATTATTATTATTATTATTTTGACTTCAAATGTCAGAAGAAAGTTGGTTAACTAGTTATCGGCCTATGGGGTTTACCGGCTTAGTCACCCCACATTTCAGCCGAGGTGCAGGCGGGAAGAGCTAATTCATTCTAGAAATGGTATAATTACTCCGTAGTTATGCGGATTATTAAAGTAACTGGAATGTATTGGTGGTGGCATTATGCTTATCGCTATTGTCGAAGGGTATCGAAGGATGTTGGATTCATTTAATATAGGTAATAGGTAACCTAGGACCCGAAGGGGTCCGAAGGGGAAGATAGGAGTTATTGTTTGCAAGGCACCCGTCACAATGCCCAATACTTGACCAAGCAGATAAGTTTGTGAAGAGACCAGACATAGAAACAGGGGGTAAGGATACCAGGTTTAAACACCTGCCATGTCATTCAAGATCAATACTCTAGAATTGCCCAGGTGTTGTCATCTACAGTCGGGAATATCAATCCGTTGCTCAAAAGCTCTTCACCTCCCTTAAACACTTCCCCAGCAGATAACCCCATTAGCGCCGCCAGATTTTGTACATGGAGGCCCTCATTGCTCTGTGGAGTGTCACTCAAAGTCTCGTACACCTTCCGCGCCAATGGTGACAGTGGAGGCAATACCCTTCCGGCGAAAGTTGAACCCCCGCCTCCACCAACAGCAGGCGCTGTTCCAGCCACTGGTTTGTCCCCTTGCTGTCCTCCCGGTGGACCCCGCGTATAATAAAGATGTATAGCTGTAGATTCGAGGAAATGACAATGATATTCATTCATATTCGTTATGGGCCGGATAACATGTGCGACGAAATTGCGCCGATTGTTGAAATTGTTAAGCTTGCCCCAAACTTTGGCATATCCATTGACCTGAATTTCCGATTCCGATGGGTGTGCAGCATCTCTCGTTTCCATATCATCTCCCGTGGGATTCACAGCGTTCTTTTCGAGCCATAATTTAACTTCGGTTTCTCCGGTGCCGTCGTCTAATTTGTATGTGACAAATGTTGTGAGGTGGCTGATGGCGCGGACCTGGCCAACGAAGACAATCTGAGACACATCTGTGCCAGATATTTTGAAATCTGCGTCTCCGTGTGCTTGACTGGCATCCTGGGTCTGCTTTATTGTCACCGGCCGGAGTGAAGTTTTACCATAGGCTCCTCCCTATGAATGAGCCAAGGCACATGTCAGACATATATCTCAAAATTCAACTGCACAATGAAGGCTAGATTTGTAATATAAGGCCTATTTCATACTTTGGTGTCTGATTGACTGCCTCCTTCACCTCCCGTGAAACCCCCTCCGCCCATCCCACCTTGGGCGCCATACGAGGTGGTAGATGTGTACTGGTTGCCGTAATCGAAGTCTGCGCCGGGAGCATTAGCATAAGGTAAAAGGACACAAACAACTGACACGAGCCTACCAACCCATGGTTACTACATAAGATATTCAGGGAAAGATGTGGGATATATATCAGAATTGTGTTTGTTGTATGGTTGCTGCTTTTATCTTCTTCTCATATCACAGTCTAATTAAAAGTCCCGTGAAGTCGTGTCAGGCGACGCGTTTTTTGGCGTCTGGAAATGGCACGGGCCAGCCCGGAGACCGGGAGAACCTTGTTCCATTCACCGCCTTTCCCATTTGGTTTCTCCCCAAGAATTGCACCTCCAAAAAATGAAAATGAAGATGAAACGAAATTATTTGACGAAATCGACAGCGATGACAATTTGATCCAGGAGATAGGAACAGCAGCAAAAAGGTAACTTCAATTATTGTTTAAAATTGACGGTATGTATATTGTTGATCTAGACCAATTTCAAGCGATACAGAGAGAAAACTAACCTTGCCCGCTTGAATGTTAGGGATATCTCCTCATTCTCAGCGTCCCGAAACGAGTTTGGCATGGTCTACCTAGGCCAGAGGCTTGGGTTCACTATCCCAACACGCTGAAATACTGAGATAGCGTGTTCATTAGGTGGTTCGAATTTGGACTGGCCCGGTAAATCGCCATGTCCCATCGGGATGTCTCTCCAGCAGCTTCCGAGAATGAGGTCGACATCTCAAATTTGCTTTTTAAAGGGGACGAGGACGCCTCCGACTTGGAAACGCCCCCCAAAATGTCAAAGCCGCAGCAAAACTTGGATCTTGATATGATGGGCGACACTGATGGTGACGCAGCTTTTATCGCGGCCCGACAAGCAGCGGCAAATCGAAAGGCGGCAAATCTGATAGGCCGAACTGTGAAAAAGGGTGGAGGTTTCCAGTCCATGGGGCTCAATGCGACTCTTCTCAAAGCCATCGCACGGAAAGGCTTCTCTGTTCCGACCCCCATTCAACGCAAAACTATTCCACTTCTCTTAGATGACCAGGATGTTGTGGGAATGGCGAGGACTGGATCAGGCAAAACTGCAGCATTTGTGATTCCCATGATTGAGAAGCTAAAATCCCACAGTGCAAAATTTGGGGCTAGGGCGTTGATTATGTCACCCTCTAGAGAATTGGCACTGCAGACACTCAAGGTCGTGAAGGAATTGGGTCGTGGAACGGACTTGAAGTGCGTTCTCTTGGTTGGAGGTGATAGCCTCGAAGAGCAGTTTGAATATATGTCAGGGAACCCTGATATAATAATTGCCACCCCTGGACGATTTCTTCATTTGAAAGTAGAAATGTCGCTGGACTTGTCTAGTATTCGCTATGTCGTTTTCGATGAAGCGGACAGGCTTTTTGAGATGGGCTTTTCAGCGCAGTTAACAGAGATTCTTCACGTCCTACCTTCTTCACGGCAAACCCTACTCTTTTCTGCAACCCTGCCGAAATCTTTGGTGGAATTTGCTCGAGCAGGTCTCCAAGAGCCAACCCTGATCCGCCTGGATGCAGAGAGCAAAATTTCCCCGGACCTTCAAAATGGATTCTTTTCAATAAAGTCGTCTGAGAAGGAGGGCGCTCTATTACATCTTCTTCACGATATTATCAAAATTCCTACGGGGGAAACTGAAGCTGGTAAAAGGACAAAAGAAGAGTTACATAACCCGAAGAAACGAAAACGATCCGATACCGTGCTAAAGTCGCATAAAGAATCGCCCACTGAACATTCTACAATTATATTCACAGCCACAAAACATCACGTGGATTATCTAACGTCAGTACTTCGCCAGTCTGGCTTTGCAGTTTCATATGCATATGGCTCATTAGACCAAACAGCTCGCAAAATCGAGGTCCAAAATTTCCGTTGCGGAATTACCCATATCCTTGTTGTGACTGATGTTGCAGCCCGCGGTATTGATATCCCTATTCTTTCTAATGTAATTAACTACGATTTCCCTTCACAATCTAAAATCTTTGTCCACCGTGTGGGACGGACCGCCCGAGCGGGCAGGACTGGTTGGAGTTACAGTCTTATCCGAGAGTCCGATGCTCCGTATTTACTCGACCTCCAACTCTTCCTTGGTCGACCACTCATTCTAGGAAGAGCCTCGAGCCAACCAGTCAACTATGCCGAGGATGTTGTTGTTGGTAGTTTACAGGGAGATCAGGTTTCCCGCTATTGTGAATGGGTGTCCAAACTTCTAGATGAGGACGTTGATGTTGCATTACAGCGCGAAGTCGCCATGAAGGGTGAGAAGTTATACATGAGAACACGAAATTCAGCCTCCAGCGAAAGCGCTAAGCGGGCAAAGGAGCTGGTTGGCTCGGACGAGTGGATGATGGTGCATCCCTTGTTCAATGACGAATCTAGCCGGATAGAAGAGGAAAGGGAGAAGATGCTTGCTCGACTGGGAGGTTATAAACCGCAAGAAACAATATTTGAAATTGGTGGCAGGCGAGGCGGTAAAAAGGGAAACGACGAGGCAATTGAGATGATGAGGAAGATGAGGTTAACATTCGAATCTAAGAGGGCACGAAAGGAGACCGGACAAAAACTTTCAAATTTAACCGATGAATCAGGGGTAGTCGATTGTCAACAAAATGATGATAATGAGGGAGATGAGTTGGCTGATTTTGATGGCGATGATGATAACGTGGGTAATGCCGACATGTCGCTGGCATCTGATTCAGAACTGGAAGTCACCTTCTCCTATCCCCAGTCTAGCAAATCGAAGTCAAAAAAGGCCGCCAATAATCCAACGCTTGGAGACTCCTTTCAGAACCCAGAGTACTTCATGTCATACACTCCTGCATCCAACTCTCTGGTTGAGGATCGTGCATACGGCGTCCATTCCGGCTCGAACACCAATTTCGTTGAAGCCTCACGCAGCGCTACCATGGATCTTGCGGGCGATGAAAGTGCCTCACGCGGTTTTGGAGAACCGCGATCAATCATGCGCTGGGATAAGCGCCAAAAAAAATATGTATCTCGCCGGAACGACGAGGATGGATCCAAAGGAGGTAAAAGAGACCTCCTTGTCCGTGGTGAGAGTGGAACCAAAATTGCCGCAAGTTTCCGTAGTGGAAGATTTGATGCGTGGAAGAAAGGGAAACGGATTGGTCACATGCCAAGGGTCGGGGAGGCAGAAGCCCCTGGTTTTGGTTCTGGAGCACCTGGAGAGAAAAAATATAGACACCGCAAGGATCAGGCTCCCAAGGCTCCCGACAAGTTTAGGGATGATTACGAAAAGAAAAAGAAGAAGGTTAAGGCCGCTAAACAGCGTGAGATGGAGAAGGCTTTTGATCCTTCGTCTAACGCTAAAGGGAGTGGTAAAGTTCACGGCAAGAGTGAGCTTAAGAATGTCGAAGATGTGAGGAAAGCGAGAAAATTGAAGGAAAAGAGAAGGGAGAAGAATGCCCGACCCACAAAGAAGGGTAAGGGGAGGTAGGTTGTTGAGAAGATCTTAGCTTTGGAGATACCATAATCATGATTTTACCATTTCAACCCGAGGCGCAATCAACAAATATACATAAAAAGCTTTTAGTTCTTGATTGATTGATCTATCTCTTTTCCTTCTGGTCATCTCCAGTGCGGTATTTACTCCTGAACCTTATCATTTGCTTCTTTAGAGGACCTTGCAAAAGCAATATAGGCTGCCTGACACCCGCGTATGCATTGCGACCAGTACATATGGCATATTCATCGGGTTTATCTTCCAGCGCTCCTGGGGATTAAGTTGGATGGTCTAGTTAGATACCTCACCGACAGCTTCCAGTATACTTGGTTCCTTGTGTATCTAAACTCTTTCGATGTGTTGTGCTACGTTCAACGTCCCCAAGTTTATTCTCCTGCCGTCTATGGCACGGTTGTGAGTTCACATTTAAGCAGACAGAGCACGAATGACAGACTCTCACCGTATGTCCATGCTGGCATGTTGCTCGCCATCATGATGCGGGTTGACAGTGGGATTTTAAACATGAGACTCTCAGCCTAGTGTTGCGTTTCAACCGGCAGACTCCTTGCCTATCTGTGTTAGAAAGATGATGATGATGATGATGATGATGATGATGATGTCGATCCTTCATATACTCTCTTGGAAGAATACAATAGAGCAACAAGATATTTCTGTGAATGTTCCCTTGGATTTCACCTTCTTGACACCACGCACTTACTTATCTACAATACATGGCTCACCATATCGAAAGCCCTGGTTAAAAACCTCCCTGTCCTCTCGTTCTCGATAAGGCGGGCCTGAGAAAAGAATTCATCATGTAACCATGTTGCGGATGCGGTGTTCCGATCTTAATTATTCTCCGCGCACACCGAGTAGGGAGTCGCCTGTTGAGTGACTCTTTTCTCTCTTTTCCCTCAATTTACCCTGCATAGATCTTCATCTGTTCTGTGGTACGGTTCGTCGATTTATATTTCTGCATGCATTCATTGCTTATTTGACACCCTCATCCATCGTCGTCTGTGCCTTTTTGCACGTGGTGTTACTACATGTACAACCTTGTGATCCTCAGGAAACCTAGCAACGGATGTATATGAGAGTTTGGATTTAATTCGGTTGTTCGGAAATACTTGTGTGATGTTTCCCCACCATGAACTTGTGGCAAATCTTGGGCTGAGTTGCAGCAATACAAGTTTTGACCAGGACTGCAGGATGATCATCAGTTCTCCTCTGCCCGCATATAATGGGCGATTAGAGCGATGACAGATATGCACAACGATACTAAGAAAGACCCAATGTTCAGGTCACACTTAGTATTTTGCTCTGTCCGATCCCTGAAACATCTTGAGAACACGAATTTTTCTAGACGTGTGAAAACAGTCCAGATGTGGATCCACATTTCTTATTGACTGCCACTTCAAGCAGCAATAGCAATCACTTCCTGTTGCCACGGTCAGTAGGCGAAACCCAGCCAGAAACCAAATATTTCAATATATCACCCGGTTATCCGTCCTCATCCGACGCACATACGGCCAGGCGTCTATTGCACTGCGCCACGTGAGTTTGGAATAGCACCTAAAATGATTCCAGCTCTTCGATATGTACTATCATACAATGTGTTACCCAGCAGTGACATAAAAGAGTTACTCAACCTGCGTGGATGGCAGCCTTGTCAGGATATTCGATTGCAAGGGAACCTCAAAAAGAAAATTAGGGGGCGGAGATGCGAGTACGAAGCGCCAGAGGCGAACAACCCTGCAGCAAACTGACGATGTATCCTTGGTTTGGAGCAATCGTCTTCTATGGAACCGACCATGGCTCCAGTCGTTTCCATTCGTTAAGGTAATTGCGTATGCATATTGGAATTTTGGTACGTGTGCGGGCACTTTTATGTTCGCTCTCCAAGCCTTTGACTGTTGGAAAGTCTATGCATCCATTCCTTCATCTATATATACATATCTCCATGTACTATTCAGAAGAGTAATAAATTACACAGGGGAGCAGGTCGCTTCTTTCTCTACCTCAACCTCCACAAACTGCATGTCATCTGCATTGATGTGCATGTTTCTCCGCATGACGATGTGTATGGGAAAAATAGGCCTGACCATCTAAGGGGAGAGACATGGAATCGTCCCGCCCCACCGGAATCACGTTTCCTCGTGATTGAAGAGGACAATGGGACGCACAGAGAAACAGTGAGTATGGAAATAGATATGTTCCTCTCAAACAAAATAACTTAGCCGCTGGCGTGTCCGGTTCGAGGGTGATCGGTAATGCAACGCATGGGTAATAACTATAGCCATCATTCGTTATTTAATGGCTGGTTCCCGGCTCTATGAGCTCCGTATCTTATACCCTTGTGTTTATACTATTTATGTTGTGATTTCCTTCCATCTTCATCATCATCCATCCATATCCATACATTCGAGGACCTCTCCCATAGCAGGGTAGAAGGAATAAATGATTTGAGCAGTAGTCCGGTCCTTGCGGAGGGGAAATGCGACGCAGGGGGCTGCTGAATGCATGTAGCCGTTGCACGTACTTAATAATGTCAACACGGTGACGGAGAAGTAAGCGGCCGGATATTTCTTCGCTTTTTCCTTTATGCAGGGAAATGATGCAGAGAGTTACAGCATTGGTAATGTATGAAATAGGGTTGAGGAAGGTAATCAGGCGGTTATCCGACAGATAAATTCATCCGTAGATGCTAACCACACCATTCCAATATGGGTATATGAGCCTATGTCTTCTCTGGGATTGATGGAGCCTTCTATCAATCCTGCGAAGGGCAGATTCAAATTTTTGAGACTACATCGCTGCTTGATGTATATCCCTCATATAAGGGGCTGTGATACTCTTATATGACATATAAAGAAGAAGAAGAAGAAGAAGAAGAAGAAGAAAAAATCACCCTCTCCTCACTTCAGATAAGAGCAATCACTCTTCCCTCCGAGTATAAATGGGCCAAGGAAAGCAAATCAGAAGTCACATTAGCAATTTCATGGTAACTTTGGCGAGTCTGGTATACGGAGAGGAACTAGAGGAATACATACCTTTAATCCATGCATAAAACACTGTACATATACACTACTCAGTCTATAAAGAAACATTTAATAAGTATCAGCGCAAAAATCGCGCAAGATATAGTTAAAAAAATTAGAAAAACGTCGTAAAGTGGTGTTGAGTTACCAAATACCATATAAAATTGTTCATAGCTGTAAACGCAAAGGGTATCATCGAGGAACGGCGGCAGGATAGACAGAATAAGTTGAACAAAAGGAAAGAAGAAACGCATTTTGAAATACAGCAAAATCAACACATGGGCGCCACCAGGTATCATATAAGAATTCAAAAATTAAAAATGGACAAGGGAAACGCCACTACTATCAACAACACTAATCCCTTTCCCCATGCGTACACGAATATATATAGCCACGTAAACAAGTGATAAAACCCAACGAGAAGATGGAGCCACCAAACAGCTCTGATATCAGAGCAGCATCCCTGCCCGGATGGAAAATACAAAAGGAAGGCAAAAGACAACACAAAGTGGAAAATAGAATGAAATAATCGCACACGACAAAAGTGGTCTGAGGTAATAGTATATGGGTATGTGTTCTGTCGGATATGTGATGTAGGACCAAGAAGAAGCACGGGGTCTGAATAGACACCCAATCTACAGAGTCCCTGATCTTTCCATCCACAAGTTTAGCACATAATGCGCTCCCTTGTAGCATTATTGAATTAATCTTCCCCCCCCCTCCCCCCCCTTAACAACACAAACAAATCGGACAAAAGAGAAATAATCAAGGAAATTTTGCGTATTTTGACCGATCCCATAAACTCTTGAATTCATATTCTGCTCCTCCAGGATGAATTCGTTGCTTTATCTCATCCATTCATATTATTATATTCAGTTTCTCAGTTGAAACGAACATCCATGGATCTCATCTGTCAGTCAAATCAAGGAATCTCAGCTAGTCGTTGACCATGTCCCCTAGAGCCATCTTCTGTCGTTTGGCAGGCCGAGATTCAGATTCTCCTTCTATCTCCTTTGTTGTAAAGCTTTTCTCAAGTTGAGCGAGAGGAAGAATATTGGAAATTGAAACTGAAGTTGAAAACCTGGATTGTCGTTGTGACAGAGTTTGCTGTGGCGGAGGCTGCGGTGGTAGGGGCATAGGACGATATGAATCGAATAACCTGCGTCCAGCAGATCCGGTGGAAAAATATGCAGGTTGAAAGGGGGGCTGCGTCGGGTGAGGGCGGGAGTCCTCCAACTCTTGGATGCGATCAACGCGGTTAGGAGGCTCCCGGCCCGATTGGAATGACGGCAGGGATGGAGGGAGTGGTGTTGGCGCCGCCGCGCTGGGGGGGTGTTGGATGTTTTGGGAAAACTCCAATTCAGGGCTTGTGTTTGAAGGTTTAAGAGGTGGTAATGTGATTTGAGGCTGGCTCGGACCAGAAAACGGGTAGTTACGCACCGCACCAGAAAACGATAAGGGCGGACTCGATAGCGGCCCATGTGGAGAACCTGGTCTTGCGAAATATGAAGATCGAGGGGGAGGTGCCTGGTGTTGTTGGTACTGGCTAGGAGATTGATTTGTTGGCAGTCTCTTACCATAAAAAGGATGCACAGATGTAGGCGTATCGCGATATTCAGGGGCAAATACAGATGGCGGTCTTGCTCCAGGAGAAAATAAGGGGGAGCTATGGGGTGGTGCTGGCTGAGAAGAACCACCGGAAAGCGCAGGTTGCCTTGGAAAGTGGCCCTGAAGGGGGGGAGACAGCGTCACAGCCTGTGATCGTGATGGAGAAGTCCACATGTGAGTGTTTCCTATGGCGGGACTAAGCCTTGGTCTTCCATATTCCCCACCAATCTCGCTAGATGACGTTGATTGTTGTAATTCTGTACTAGGTCGAATTTCCCTTGAAGAGGAAGCCCGTCGATGGCTATAAATTTGGGATATAGGAGAGGAACCCTGAGGTCGAGGGCGAGATGTTCCCGGATGATTGAAGCTTGGCTCGTATGGTCGTAGAGGCCCTTCTTCGGCCTTCAATGGTGGTCGACCTCTTCTTTTATGTCTCACATCTACACAAGATTCCTATTTTAACGTAGTTAGTACGGGACATTGCTGTATACCCGACACCAAAGATTATGTAATAGCAGTCCGAGCTTCTAATTATACAGAAGCATGCATGGTTAAGTTTTTTGCTAGCAAGAGATTACCACGTAACTCACCTCTTTACCAGCTGAAATACATCTTCGGCATGGGCGCGCCGACTCACAGCCAAGATGCTTTTTCTTACAATTCACACATGCTGATGCAACGTGAGCTTTTGCTCTGCGCGTGGATCTCGGGGGAAGTGGGGTGGCTCTTGGAGGTAGAAACGCCCCAGCCGGGAGAGTAGGTCGGATTTGGGAGTCATCAATCGAGGGCAGTCCTAAGATGGATATCCCTGGTTGCCCAGTAGAAAATCGTCGCGAATCTGGTTGGAGAACATCAGGTCCTTGGGCTTCGGCCGGGGGTTCTGCGAAAGATAAAAGCGGCTGTAGAGCTCCACGCGAGGTTGTTGGAATCGGAGAAATAGAGCGTTTTCGGCGTCTGTCTCCGCAAAGTGGATCGAAACGATTCTCTGGCGACGGAGAACCGGACATAGGGGGAGAAAGGTAGGGAGCCCGAAGGTGGAGAGCACAGGAATTGTCTGGAAGGTTCAAAATTAAAGAGAACCTCAGAGGATCGGAGCTTAGCCCGTGGGCTCGTCCGAATGGCGTGAAAGGGAGGGGGCGCCCGGCAGATCGTATGGAGTGCATGAGGTTCGATTTTCCCAAACCAACGTCTGGAACTGTAAGAGATGGAGCGAAGCATTAAAACGACTGACAAAGAAGCCTGTATTATGGCATAAGAGGCCAAGCTGATAACGGGCTCAGATCCGGACTGTCGCAAAAAGGGCGGAACCAGACGAGATCTAACCGCGCCGATCATAAATTGATTTGAGCCAACGGCATGGAATCTTCCGCTGATGGGAATCCCACCTCCACCTGCCTAGAGTTCACCAGCTCCGGTCTAAATTCCCTAGGTCTGTCACATATGGCACCCGAAGGTAGATAGCGCTCACAATCCAGCCTGAGGCGCTCAATAAAAGATGATAGCCAAAACTACTTGGAAGACTTTCACAACCACCTCTAGACGTAACGTCCCTGCTGAGGGAGAAAGAAAGCGTCCACGAGATCGTACGACAAGATCCAAATAAAACAAAATGAAAGGGGAACATACAAAACTAGTGGGGACGGGCACTACGGTGTGTACCTCTTTACGCGATTTGTAAAGTTGCCACTGAGAGAAACCAAATCTGGAGACACTTTTCTGGGGCTAAAGTTCAATGATTGACGGATCGAAAGTTACCATCGAAAGAGGCGCAAACAGGTGTGATGAGATGCGGCGACTAGAACAGAAAAGGAAAAGAAAACGTGAAAAAAGAGTGGTGGGAAGTTAAATGAAGTGCAAAAAAAATAAAAAGAAAAAAGAAAGAAAAACAGAACGAGAGACGCATAGGAACAAGGAAAAAGAAACGCGAAAGGATTGGGACAAAAGGAAATACGGGTGGAAAATGTCAGCAGTGGTTGGATGTCGTAGTTACCCGTGGACGGAGGAGTCTCTATCAACCAGAAAGATGATTTGAAGATATAATGTTGACTGCCGCTATTGTTGAATCAATCAAGGCTTAGGGATCAACTCTGGATGATATATGATTAAATTCCATCATGCAGGTCATAACAGGGCTGGCACAGGGTCCGGGAGTAAAACCTGAACATGAGGACCAAAGGCGCTCGGGGTCGTCGCGTTGGAAACACCCTCCGACTCGTGTTGGGGTTGGGTTTGGAGTCCATGGTTGCTAAGCTCGGGAAATGGAAGGGCGGGCCTCTTTTAGTGAACCTATTTTTTTATATATATAATTTATTTAGAAATTATGAGTGGCCCTGAGAAGAAAGGGAAGACTCGGGTACTGGGTGATTCCATGGACTGTGGATATTGTGAGAGTGGATAATATCCGCCCCTCGCCTCTCCCCCCCGTTCCCTCAACAGGAAAAATGGCAGGGAATGGCAAACTCTCCAGGGAGCGTGATTTGCGGCGATGAGCTCTAGTTCTGCCAGCGCTTCCAATATGCTCCGCAGGAGGTAGTATCCGTAGTGGAGAGCGTAGTCAGTACTCATTGCTCATAGGACTCCATAGTCCAAGGGGAAAATGCTCAGGCTAGTTTTGAAGCTGGAAACAGTAATAATAATAGTAGGAAATGGACAGCAGATTGACGCTACAGGGTAATGGCTCGGCACTAGTGGGCACTCATGGGATGGATGGTCCACTAAACATCAGCAGAAATTCTCCTCCATGCCAAATACAGGGCTCGGCTAGGTGACAAAGGCTGAACTGGAGAACCGGAGGCTTCTGCTTGCTGCTTCAGCTTGGCTCTCCTGATCTGCTGTGAGGTCGATCATCTTTGCCTAGCATTGGCGGACAATTAACCCATGAAAATAGCCCAATCACAATACGGGTCACCGGTGTCCCGAGCTTCCACTATTTGCTTCGTTATCGAATGGGGAGTCAGGAAAGACGACTAGTCAATCGGATATCTTTCACTATGGCTGGCTGACCCCGATCAAGACCGGTTCTCGGATTCCGGTCCTTTGACGGCGAACAGTGAACAGTGCACCATAATGCAAATGCCACCACCACTCCAAGCAGGGAATCAAGGTCAGCCTGGTGGCTTGCATGGGTCCACGATTTGGGTGAGGTTGCAGATGTCAGTATTAGTGACACCCAACCTAAACAGGGAAGATGGAACCCAATCAAGATAGGAAGCTAAGGTAATACAATCGAGAAAAGAAGAATTATGGTTCCTGAACAGTAGAATGGGCTCTAAATATATTGCGGTGATGTGTGGCCCCTGTACGGAGCAGCTGAAACTTCAATCGTCGAAGAGCGTGTGAGGAAGAAGAAGAAGAAGAAGAAGAAGAAGATTCTTGAACGGGAGTGAAAACTCCAGTCGCGGAGGGCTTCGGGTTCCGAGAGCGGAAGTGAGTTAGTTCCATGGTAACTGGTTAGTGACCTAGCACCCGCAGGTAAACAACGCGAATCTTGAGGTACCACCTGTGATACTACTCCCGGGTTGGCACGCGGGAAGAAGAAGACAGGACATCGTATATTTTGTATTTCTTTCGTTTTGCTTGAGCAGGTAGTTAGTTATGGTGTATAATGGTGGCTGTGACAATTAATGTTCTTATATTCTACCTACCACCGGGGGCATCATAAATAAATTCCATAATAGCAGCACATTTCACCTGTCGCGATGGAAGAACGATGGTACCGTGGCCGTGGCCGTGGCCGTGGGATCGTTCAACCATGCAAGATATAACTGCGCTTTCAGTTCATCACTAACGCGATATCATGTAGTTACTCCGTACATACATGCAACTACATGATCAGCACAGCCAAAAAGGTTACACTCCCCGTCTTACAACCCGGGTTCAAGTCTTTGATCCCTTTCCGGCCACCCAGTCCTGTTTCCATCGCAGCACAGCCCTAGATCAAGCCTCGATGATAATCAATGGTGCAAACATTTCTTTGAGAGATTGCTGTGTATTGTGTGACTTGCTGTTCGTCTGCAACAGGCGGGACCTAGTTTTCGGGGCTAGGCTTTAGAAAAGCTTCTTTGAGCTTTGTGGTAACGAAGTGCGGACTGTTAGCCGCCCGGGATGCATTGGTCTTGACATTAACCCGTTTCCAAAACTCGCTGTGACTTGCCATTTGAATCTCCCCATCATCGTCATCGCCATCGACAATCACTGACAATGGGATGCGCTTGACGGTAGAACCGTGGATGAATGAATGAATGTATAGGGACCATGTGTGCCCTTCACACTGTTAGAGGAAGGACACTGTCAGAAGAAGGCGAGAAAGTGGGTTCAATCAATGTCCCCCCACACGAAATACCGGACGGCTAAGAATCCTACATCCGAATAGTGAAGTCAAACTTGAACTCCCAGACGGCGGTCTCTCCATGTTGTCCAATTGGTGCGAGTCAGTCCATATATAGGTCGTAGAGATAAGGACAACTGACCGGAAAATGACCTAAGATAGGAGTGGGGGAATTGCGTCCATCAAAGCACAGAACCTTGGGTCAAACCGGAGCGAAATTCAATGCCTCTAGCTATCCAGTTGTGTCCAATGGCGCGTGGACAGGGAACGCAGGAAAAGACGGATCGACAAGAAGATATCCGTTTGCCTCAAGCCACCGTCTTGAGAGAAAGGCATCCCTAATAATGGTCAAAGCACCCACGGCACGATACCGCCGAATAAATGGATTCAATGCGTCACCATTATGATGGCATGCCAGTATTTCAGCAACATTAGCGGCAATAGAGTTTGGAATAGGTAGTTAACTGTGCTTCTCCAGAATATTCCGACTTTACGCCTCTCGTCTCAGTGGCTGAGGCGGGATTACTTGGTTGCCCACATTTCCACCTAGAGGTGTCAGGTATGTATGTTCGGAAACTGGTGTGTGTGCATACTCTACCACACAGACGAATTTATTAGAGTGCGTGCAGAGCAGGTCAAGGCGGCTACCTGATTTGTTTGTGCTGTGCCTATTGCACACAGGAAAACACAGCGAATACAATACATGCAGCCCATCCCTTTTCAAGCTATCAAATCGTTGATCCAGGAACTTTCCCAAGAAATGCCAATGGACCAAGACGTGGAGGAACAAAGGGTATCCGGTACCACCACATTATCGGATGCATTTTATTGTCGATGTGTTTGTTTATGGGCCCTTCCCCGCCCCGGCTGTTGTCCTCCTGCATGATTGATCGTCGGCAACGCCATGGGTCTGTCGTGACTCGTTGCAGCATTTTGATACTATTTTCAGTGGTCGTTGACTTGGGGAAATAAGACCCTGAACAGCTTCAGCTGATAGGATGAGTATTCGCGGAAAAGAAAAGAGCGTGGTTATTATACTAAGTTGTAACTGCTCAACCAGTCAAATGATTGTTCACTCCTGGTTTTGGGAAACGTGCAATGACGATCAGTCGGTGCCATGGAATGCACTGTCAATCCTCCAGAGTCTCAATCATGATCCAGTGTTCACACCATAAGGGGATGTCCCGTGCCTAGACTCCATGTTCCCAGTCAATACCCGTCTGATCCTAGCCTTCGTTATTTATCCAAGAGGCTTGCAAATATGCACCATACATGCATATGGCGTACGCTAACAAATGATCATGCGCCGCTCCGATATCCCTGAGTTTATACAAAGAGACTTGATCTTCAGAGACACTCACTTCGAGCCGGGAGCATTTCGCAACCCTGAACTCATACTGAATGGATAGTACTGAGCCAAGGCGTAGGGAACAGTGAGCGAGGTGCTGTACCAACGTCAAAAACCATATCTTCTCAAAAGATGTTAACTGAGTACGGAAAGGGTACGGAACACATTCACCTTCAAAATTGGGATGAACATTCTCCTCTGGGGCTCAGCGTCAATAACTAGAAACCTAAGGGAAACCAAAGTTTTGCAGCGTCTCCAAGCTCCCTCAAGTATCCTTCAGGTTTATGTTGGGGCTCCTGTGAATTCAGAAGCCAATCCGCTGCCCAATAATCTCTGTCTGCTATCTGGAGGAGGGAATGCCAGAATTCCACCTACCCTCGACCCAAATGCTGGAAGCCAAAAGCTAAAACCACAGCCGGCACAGTTGCTTCAAGCCCATTCTCTCAAATCATCGCATGCTATGGATGTGATCCATTATACATACAGCGATGTGGAAAATATTTTTGGCGATGTGGTTGCTGCAAAAGAGTTGAAGCTTGGTCGTCCGAGTTTATAACGACCTCGATGGTTGCTTTCCTTCCCACCCGTCTCGGTTCCAGTCTGAAGTTGAAGGCCTGGTTCATGTGCTGTAATCCCATTCAGATCTTTATATTAGCTCTTGGCCAATACCTAATGGTAGCGGCCGCTGGTGGAAATGTTGACACCTTCGGCGTCATGAGGAGATCGCCATGGTCATCATCCTCTATGTTTCGGCACTGTTCCCTCAAAAGAAGGATGAACTTCATAATCCCTGAGACAGTACTCCCTACGTCCCGAGCTGTGTTTGTAACCAAAGACGAGCGAGCACCTGTTAATGCCACCTAAATTCGTTCAGCTATTGCTTTTCTTTTCTTTTCCTTTCTTTTGCTCGATGGTCTGCAACTAGTTATCCGATTGGCTGCTACTGGTCACGCTAACTGCGCATTCATACCCAGGTAGTTTTACTCCCCCTGTAAAGAGTATATGTCAAAAAAAAAAAAGGAAAAGAAAAGAAAAGAAAACAAAGAAAGAAAGAAAGAAAGAAAGAAAGAAAGAAAGAAAGAATGAATGTCAGTCAACAGGACGTACTGCGAATGATGATTTCAGAGAAAAAATGCGTATTCCGGGGTAGCCAAAGGTTAATTATTGGTCACGGTGGAATATGTCCCCGTTGGCTGCAGAAGATATATATTTATCCTTGGCTCATACTTAAAAAACTCCAGTGACAGCTGTCCTATCAAACTAGTTAACCAAGGATCGTTTCAATCTTGTTTCTTCAAAAGGCTTCCTTTCCCCTTCAGGCTTCCGCCGATCGATGACCTTGACATCAGAGTTGTCATCATGACAAATCGGACATTTGTTCTGGTTCTTCCCCAGTGTCCCCCTGTCTCACTCTGATTCCTTCATGTCGGGGGTTTGTTTTATTTGGTGCGGCTCGCCCCAGTTTACTTTTTTCTCCTCATTATCAATTAGACTTTCGGGATATCGAGAGCCCCACACCCCCATAGGCTCAGCGCCCCCATATTCCGCTAGGAGCTTTTTCTGGGGTTTTAGTTATATTAATAGAGAGTTACAAGAGGCGTCCTGTCCCGAGCAATATCCGAATGTCCTCAAAATAACCTGCACAACAAAGGGCATGAGACTATCAGGACAGCAGAAGCAGAAGTTTTACGGAGTAGAGTGAGGCAAAACAAAATACTTGGACCCTGGAAAAACACTACCTAACTAGTTATTTTTGAGAGCTCTTCCACAACTAAGCACATATAGGGTTTCTCCAGAGTTACGGAGATCTGATTTTGATAATCGTCATCGCATTCTCCAGATTTAGACATACGAATCATTGGGTTGTAAATAAGGAAAAGTTACTTTCTACCACAATCCCTTACTCAAAAATAGATGCAACTTAAGTGAGAAGTGAGAATGCAACATTATAAAAGGAATATTTGTCAACGATTTCACCGGAGTAAGCCTTCGGGAAATTTTAGCTCCTGTATTTGACGGGATATTTTTGGTGGCCAAGGGATTTTTCAGGTATCCAAACTATATCTAGAACGGAGGAGTATCATGGCGATATTCTGTCATTTATGCTTGGAAGACGTGTGAGAAGCAGGAATATGAAGCTTGTTTCAATGCCGGCTTCGACCCCTGTGAGTGACGACTTAATCCCACATTTTGAGAGACCAAGGACTTTCAAAAGGGAAGACTTGCCTCTAGTTCTCAGGTCAACGGAAATCCTCGATAAACAAGACTAAGGATTTTGATTTCGCTCTAAAAGGGAACAAACCTACGTGTGCATGTATGTACTTTTCAGCCAGCCCTCCTTGAAACCAACCATGGACTTGAATATAAGTTCAATTCCGAGTGCTATTTTGTCTGCGGGTTAGTTCAACCTTGCTTTGTTTGTTGTTTTGGTAGGTGGTGGCGAATTTTGAAATCTCCAACCAGTAAGCTCCACAGCGAAAAAAATAGATTTCTCTGGGGATTTTACTTTATTGGACCTATCAAAATGCACGAAATGCGCTGGATCAAAAAAAAAAAAAAAAAGAAAAGAAAAGAAAAGAAAACTCTGCCAATAATGGCTTGACAATTCTAGATTGCCTGCAAGATGGCAGCAAAGTCTTCCATAAACAAACTAACAACACTCTGGAAATGGGGGTTCACATCCCCAACCAAACCTTCACCTTTGGCAGCTGACAGGTTTTTTGCCTCACACGTCTTGGATGTCTCCATCTGCTCTCTCTCTCTTTCGGAGATCCCCCGGAGACTCATATGTCAATCGTCTCCTAACTTGTCGTAAGAGAGAGAGAGAGAGAGAGAGAGAGAGAGAGATAGAGCGATTTCAGGAATGGGAATTTCTCACCCCCAAGGCAGATCCAATGAACCGTGAGGCTTTGTTGGGTTATTGTTATTTTCTGCATGGCGCAGCGTTCCCAGATAAACTGATACAAGCTTTTGGCCATCTCTCTCTCAAAGATTTGCTCTGGAAGAAAGTTGATGACCTTGAGATGATTCAAACCGATGACTTTGGCCCCCGTGAACTACTGAAGTTCGTCAATCCCGCTGTAGGAGCTTTGTGCCTTCGTCGCACTGCGAACCCCATACCATGGGTCTCGTTGTCAGTATGTGGAGCATGGAGCAAGGTGTCAATTAGATTGTCACAACATGAAATAAGCCCTTCGCTACTCTCTACCTGCTATCTATCTATCTTCTTATATTTAATATACTTAATTGCCCTGTTCTTCCTTTACACTTCCCTATATCTGCTAGAGGATATATCACCCCCAATTTTCCACTGAGAATTTCAGAACGGCAGAGAATCCACAAACCAATAATCAACAATGTTATATTCTATTCTATTCATGAGGATAGATAGATAGCATTTGGCAGCAGTTCAATACGTACATTCTCCCCAGTAGAGAAAACCGGACATTGCCCTCTTTGGTTTGGCTAGATCGCGCCCCCGCATTCTCCATTCCGGGAATACAAAAAGTTACCCAGTCTCCACTGCGGGGTTCATTGTCTCCCGTCAGTAGTTTCAGTTGCTAAACATATACACTGGTGTCAATCCGCGTGTTTCCACTGCCTGGAAGGAAGCCACTTAAAAATTGAGATTGAGGGATAATATGGCAGACAGAAGCGTATCCGATGACGTTGTGTGTTCTCATGATTTTTCTTCAGAATGTTAACCAGCCCTTTGTCATTTAAAGTTCGCTTGCTGGGATCAAGTGGTTTTTAACTTCGGCATTCCCTGTTTTTCTACCGGCCGTTCCAGGCAACGGACGGAGAATGTCTATGGAGCTTTTAGAAATTTTCTAGAATCCAAAGCAATTGTCCTGGTTCTTGATTGATAAGAGATGAGTCGGTAATGGAGATCAGACTTCCAACTACATACCCATCCGGCTTTCCTGTCAAACCATCCATTGCATCTGCCGGTTGGACCCCGGAAATCTTCATCCCCTCGTCATCTAAACCGAGAAACAGGTAACAAGTGCGTAATAGAGAATTATCGGAGAAGAATTACCACTGATTCAAATGCCGACCATGCCATCCAACTAAACTACCAAAGAGGTCAGATGACGTTGGAATTCCGGGCCGTTCTTAAGACCTCGTTCCCATCGGAATCCATGTTGAGCGGAACGGAGGGGAAATTTCTGGTTTATAAAGCATTGTTTTGTGGAAAATGATTTGGTATGTTCCGTAAGTAAAAAGAGAAAAAAGAAGAGCAATTTCAGCAATTGATATTCGTATGGGGATTGTTTGAAACTTGATCTTCAAAAGTGACCAGTAAAAGATCCTACGTTCCACCAAGCCTGATTAAATATGGTCAAAACCACAGCCACCATCCGAAATGGCAGACCTTTGAAGACATCTGCAGTGGATGTCGTTTTAGTGAACCCTTTCCACCTGACATAACGTCATTGTATTTTGTATGTTTCAGTCTAGACAATTAATACCTTCTCCTGTCACTAGTTAAAGGGGTGGAGTGAGGAGCTTGCAGTTTCTTTCAGATCAGGTGTCTCTTCAACTCTCAAGATATGTGAACGCTGTTCTGAGTCCAGAGTTGGGGGCGGAGCAGATGTAAGGAGTTTCCACGGCTCAATTTTGTTGTTTTTATTTATATGTTTTAGTTTGTAAATCCTGAGTGGCGTCCCAAAGTCTTCCAACAAGCACGTTTGACCGGGGATACTGTTAAAAAGACGTGACGGACATAGGTTGGGATACTAGAGAGACAGTGCTGTTTCGAATTGTCTCAAAATGTTTCTCCGTTTCTCCCAGATATAAATAGCTATCAGTCAACGCCTTTCTTGGGTTAGCAGTGGCTGCGCACAGGAGATAAAATAGATGAAAACCTACTACACTCTCTGTGTCCCATACATATCCACATTCCGAAGGAAAATATCTTCTAGAAAATTGTCGGATTCAAAATAGGTTCAGCACGACGTAAGTGACAAGGTCGATATTTTTTCTTTTCCATTACCATGGAACACCTGTACACTGCGGATGAACGAGGATGAGAGTTGATTGCCTGAAGGGATTTGGCCTGCTGGCAGTAACGCGCAATGTAGCAGGTGAAGGGCTTGGGGTGTCAAAATCGATCCATATGGGTCGAACAAGCGAGCGAGGAACATAGTGTGCAGCACAGGAGGAGCATTTGTAAGCGTAAAATATAGAAAGACGATGCAATCAATTGTATTTTAACGACAATAGCAACTAAATAGATGATGTGCTTCAAAAGAAAAACCACGTTCCAATCCGTTTGGCTTTCTCTTGCAGGGTAAGCTCTTTAAAAGGCTTCTTCGCCCGTAGCTCCGCTGCCACAGTCCCTTCGGCGCCGCCATCGTACCGGTCAGTGACTAAGTCCACCTCCTCCAGGCTCACAAACTTCGTCCGCTTCACCAGTTTCCAAGTGACGAACATTACGATCATAACTGGTAATTGAATGTAAAAGCTAATAAAATCGACTCCGTTGAATCTAGGGCGGAAAGAACTCCAGCCCTGGACAAGGATAATTAGGCCGTTAAGGAATATGGAGGCAATCGGGCCATAGGGGTAAGCCCAGTTTTTGAATGGGAGGAGATGCTCCAGGTTTTGACGCCTGATGGCGCCGCGGAATCGTAGCGAGGCAATACCAATCGCCATCCAAGATATTTGATTGGAAACTCCGACGATGCTGTGGCGGGAGCATTAGAAAATGTTTTGACATTGTGAAAACGTATGTTTCTCCTTTTGGGGGGCTCTTATATCGCTGATGACTCTGCGATTCTTGCTCTATGGAGAAACGGAGGGGGGGGGGGGGGGAGGTAAGTAAAACTTGTTCATCTTACTTTTGTAGCCAAATCCACAGCTGCCCAGCGCCGATATAACTAGCTCCAAAACACAGTGCGCTGAAAGAGGAGGTCACAAGCACCGCAACCCATGGAACCCGATTTCGATTTAACTTCCCCAAAATCGCCGGGGCATGGCGATCCACAGCTAATGCATACATAAGTCGAGACCCAGCAAACAGAGCATGGTTGCCGGCGGATATGACGGACGTCATGATCACTGCATTGATGAAACTTCCAGCCACCCTGCTCCCAGCCTTCTGGAAAACAATGGTGAAGGGGCTAGTGTTGGCGTTCCTATTTGAAAGGCCAGGAAAGGTATGCGGGACGTCCAGGCCGATAATCAGCACGCCAATGACATAGAATATTAATATACGCCAAAAGACATTGCGAATCACTCTCGGGAGAGTTACAGCTGGATCTTTGGTCTCTCCTGCAGTGACTGCGATAGATTCAGTTCCACCACTGTAGGGAAAAGAGTGTCAGTTCGCTTTGCTGCCACCACCTTGGTCGTTATCGACACATTACTCACTAGGCAAATGCAGCAGTGACAAAAACGGATGCAAATCCGCCAGCACCACCTACAAAGGGGGCGTCTCCGATGGTCCAATTCTTCCCTCCGATGTATTTTCTGTCTACGTTGCCGCCCAAGTTGACCGCAATTCCAAGGATAATAAAAATCTAGAGATAGATTGTTAGGATATGAAATAAGTGATATCTCTCGGTTATCTGACTTACCACAATAGTGCTCACTTTCAGAAGACTGAGCCAGTATTCCATCTATTCGGGAGTTTGTCCTATTAGCAAATGTTTTCAGAATATCCTCAGAAACGCGATACCCTTACCTCGCCGTACGCTCGTACTGTGACAATATTAAGCCCAATCAAAATGAAAAGAAAAATCAAACTTAGAGCCCATCCTGGAAAGTTATCCGTCCAATACTTCAATAAAAGCTGCAGTGCGACAAGATCCGCCGCCGTAGCCACGGCGTCATTAAACCAGTAGTTCCACGTCAGAGCAAATCCAAAAGCATCATCGACGAAGCGGCTGGAGTTTGACCCCGTCAGCATCTCGTTCATCAGTTTAACGTGCAAAGAGAGGCAGCACTTACCCTGAATATGTGCAAAACGATCCAGCAATAGGGATGAAGGCCGTCATTTCGCCAAGCGACAGCAGGGTTAAGAATACGATGCCCCCCACAATGGAATACGCGATCAACATCGATGCAGGTCCACCAGTTGCCAATGATTTTCCCGTTCCCAAAAATAAACCCGTGCCAATGGTTCCTGCGATGGCTATCATTTGGACCTGACGAGCAGATAGCTTCCGCGAAAGCTTGTCCGCCACCACCACCGGGGCCGGTGGGTTCTCCAAGGCCAACACCTTTTCAACATCATGGTTGCGATCGGATGTCGGAGGGACGAATTCCATGGCGTATAAATCCGCCGGTTGGAACGGCGCGCGGGTAACAGACGAACTGGCGCGTGGGAGAGAAACTATGGGCGTTTGTGGTGTTTTCTTTCTTTCTTTCTCTCACTTTTTTTTGCCCCAGCTTCAACTAAGCCACGGCGGATAACAGAAGAATTGGTGCGCGGGAGAGAAACTCCAGGTATTTGTGGTGTTTTCTTTCTTTGTTTCTCTCTCTCTCTCTCTCTCTCTCCTTTTTTTCTTCTCTCAGCCACGGCGGGTAACAGACGAACTGTTGCGCGGGAGGGAACCTCCGGGCGATTGTAGTGGTTTTTTATCTATATATATTTATTTATCTTCGATTTTCGATTTTTAGATTTTCAATCAGCTTTGCGAAGCTATGGCGGATTGTGCAGTTTTAAATAGACAATATATGATGAGCAGAAGCAAACTTGACATTGAACGGTGAGTAACTTAATTCGAATGAGCGCGCTCTAAGTATAGTTCTTAGGCTGCAGCCGAGGGTTAAATAAACTTTTTGAGGTTGAGCTTAAATGTATGAGAATTCTGTCATAACCAAGGAACGTGCAAAGCCTAAGTGGAGCCGCTCAAATCAGAATGCGAACGTTTTAGGTTCAATTGCGTGATCACTAAAGAGATCGCAACATGAACCCTGCCTCGCACGAAAGAAGAGTCGGGGCAAAACGCCTCCGGCCCCTAGCTAGCTACCCGGCAGAACTTCGGCTGACATAGTTTTAACCCCGGGCTCGGGAGGGTAAATGGCCGACGGAAGCGCCGCTGATCCCAAAAGTCCCTGCACAGCCGCCAAGATGCGGCCCCAGTGGCGACGGCTTGGGGGCAGGCTTCACGCCAAGGATCAAGGTTGCTCTCGGCGATCGTTGGCTACAGTGGAAAATGCAACCCTGATTTGCGATATGTCTTCCAAGAATTTCTCAGGAACACCGCAATCCACGATATGTCTCTTTCCAGACAGGGGAGGAGAGGGTCTAGAATGCAGTTGATTATCATCATCGAAAAGCCCGGTATGGAACGGCTATCGCGTTGTGCATGCTCTGCTTATGGGAAGGTGCTAAAAGAGGGAAAAAAAAAAAGACAAAGACAAAGGAAAAGGGAAAAGGAAAAAGGGAATTAATTACAATCCCTTGAGCTTCATTTTAACCAAGTAATTCAGCAGCAAGTGATTCCAAATCCTCCAGGGTTTGAACCTCGACAGGCCCGTCGATGTCGGCATTTTCACGGCGTTTTGAGCGGCTACTGCTCCTCCTCAAGTTCTTACCATCCTCGTCTTCAGATGAGCCTTGGAACCATTTCTTTTGTTTCTTGCTTGGATGGATTTCTTCTCCTGCAGAGTCATGCTCATCCTGTGAAGCCTTGGCAGAGCGGTCTCTAGTGGTAGTTTCGTCGACCGGAGCAAGGACCCCTCCACCCTCCGTTGCCTCTCTCTCTGCCCGGGCCCGCTCCTTTCTTTTCTCCTTCTTTTCCCGTTTTTTCTGTTTCGCAATTTCTTTGTCTCTGATATCAGCAAGGCGAGTCCTCTCCGCTTCGAGTTCAAGGAACTTGATCCGTTGTGCATCTGCAGGGCCCCGTTTTTGGAAGTCATCTTCATCCTCCATTTCGTACACTTCGTGTGGGTTCCCATCGTCATCGAAGATTAGTTTCGATCCTTTGCCCTTGTATTTGAGAAGCTTCTTCTTTGATTTTAGGAGCTTCTCTCGCCGGTGAGAATCGATAAGAAGCTGCTCGCCACCAGATAGCTGTACTGCTTTGATGTCAGGTTTCGATGTGATGGAGTCATCACCAGAGATTGTGCCAAGGTTATCATCGCCCGCGTCGAATCGGCGTTTCACAGACAGAAAATAATTATCTTCATCTGCGTCTGCTTTGGAATTATCAAGCGCGTTGCCCAGGATCCCGCCATCGTCCTCATTAATTAATCTGGTGTAATGCTCGGTGAGAACGTCTTGGTTTCGCCGTTCAAACATGCGATCGTACTTCGTTCTCACAGGTTCTTCCTTTACCTTCTTGCGGTGTTCACCGTCGGTGTCCGTTTCGCCTCCGCTTGACAATGCTGCTAATTGTCGTGAAGCGTTCTTCCTCTTTTTGGTGTCTTCACCTTTGATAAACTTGATCCGAGGAGCACCGGGCAGACCTAAGCTTGCAGCATACGCTTCCAGGGGCAAGTCTTTCACTACAAAAACTTCTTTGTCCTTCTGGACATGAATGGATTTGACATAAGATATAAAGGCCTTTTGTCCAAGGTATTTCAATGCCGGATCCTTAAAACACATATTCTGTAGCTGGTGTTTAATGCTCTGTTGTTTCTTCGTGCGAACATTGATTTTTTCGATGGGAATTTTCTTTTGCTCGAGTCTCTTCAGCATCGCAGCCTCCTCACTGGGTTCTAAGAAGAGAACGGCTCGTCCATTCCGTTCGTAGCGTGCAGTTCTGCCGGCACGGTGGATGTATGTGTCTGCATCCTCCGGGCAATCAACCTGGATAACCCAATCGACGGCAGGGAAATCTAAACCCCTCGCTGCAATATCCGTAGCAAATAGACACGCATGCTTAGCTACGGAAAATTTCTTCGTGATATCCACTCTGGCACCTTGCTTCTGACGTCCGTGTAAATGCAGTAGGGATATACCAGGTTGCATATGTCTGAAGGACTCGTATACAAACCGAACTTGCTTCCCGGAAGAAAAGAAGACCATGATTTTGGATTTCAGACTACTCCGTATAAAGCTCCATAATGTATCTAGCTTCTCAGGAAGAGGCGTGACAATATAGTTCTGTTGAAGTTTGGCAGGGGTAGCGCTGGATGCAGCTTCATGGACGGATATGTACTCTGGATCCTGCAGGCTCAGGCGTGCAAGGTCCGACACTTTTTGAGTCTGAGTGGCACTAAACAGCATGGTTTGTCGTTCCTTTGGCAAATGCTCGACGATGGCGTCAACAGTGTTTTGGAACCCCATATCCATAATTCGATCCGCCTCATCAAGCACAAGTAGTTGGATACGATTTGTATCAAAAGCAGCAGTCTGGTCCATATGTTGCAACATGCGTCCAGGAGTGCATACCAAAATGTTCATCCTCCCTAAGCGTTCCTGTTCCTCCTGTAAGCTCTTCCCACCAATAACCAGCCCAGCAGAAAAGGAATGATGACGACCAATCTTCCTCAAGACCTCAAATATTTGGATCGCCAATTCGCGGGTGGGTGAGAGCACCAGGGCCCCCAGTCCATCATATTCCGTCCACTGCTTGCGATAGAGGAGTTCCAAAAGGGGAACCAGAAATGCAAGTGTTTTGCCGCTGCCGGTCTTCGCGGCACCTAGAATATCCCGTCCTTTGAGAGCATGGGGTAGTGCCTTGGCCTGAATACTGGTCAATGTTTTAAAATGAGACGCTGAGAGACCATCTAGGGAAGCCTCTGAGAGAGGAAGATCAGCGAATGCCTCAACTGGAGCTTTCACATCCAGCTCGTCGACTCGTTGCTTTAGTGTTGTGAGATCCATCTCCTCTCGTTTTCGTTTTAGGCTTCTGGCATCGTTACGAGCATGTTTGGAATGAGAGCTATTCCGGCTATGACGCGAGGGTGCCATTGCTGGAGTAGGGCGCCACACTTTTGCGTCGCGAGCTATATTAAATTTTGTTCTATCCTCTGCTGCAGAGAAATATGAACTGTGATAAGAGTGTTTGGGACCTTTTTTTTATATTTTTTAATTTTTAATTTTTTATGGTTTTTTTTTTTTTTTTTTTTTTTTTTTTTTTACTCCTGGTCAAACTAACTTAGTTAACTTCTATCTCTGCTTAGTCATCTGCTTGGCATAACAGCATAATGATTTGCAGCAGCTGCTCAAAGTAAGAAATGCGCATCAACCTGCAGGGAATAATATCAAACAATCACTCTTGGATTAATTCAGTAGGTTTCATCAAGAGATTTTGTCGACATGGCTAGCGATGAATTGGACGCACTTGACGCCCTGGACAGAGAGGCGTCGGAATTCACCAAAGTATGAGCAGAAGCTCGTTCCGTTCCCTAGTTTTGGTTTACTGACAGTGAGATTTCTGCAGGATGCGGAAATTGATCGCATTAGAAAAGCATTCCAGCTCGATGCGTAAGAGACTTCCAGTTGCAATATTTAAGCGCACAGCAAAATGTTTCTGCCAGATCGTGACTCGTCTAACTCTCGTCACACAGTTATGCAGTCCTTGATCTCCAACCAGGCGTCCCAGACTCAGACATTAAGAATCAATACCGCAGGAAATCCCTTCTCATACATCCGGATAAATCCTCAAACCCTGCGGCGCCCGATGCCTTTGATCGTCTAAAGAAGGCACAAACGACTCTGTTAGATGAGAAAGCACGGGCTCACCTCGACGAGTGTATTGCCGATGCACGAAGACTATTAATCAGAGAACACAAATACACGCTTGACTCCCCAGAGCTAAAGACGGAAGAGTTCAAAGTGGAATGGCGGAAGAAGACTGTCGAGGTTCTAGTTGAGGAGGAAGCGAGACGGAGGCGGCGGTTAAAGGCGCAAATGCAGGAGGAAGGTAGGGAGAAAAAGAAAGAGGAAGAAGAGATGGAGATGAGGAAACGGAAGAGAGCGGAAGAGAAGGCCTGGGAAGAGTCACGCGAGGAGCGGATTGGGAGCTGGAGGAATTGGCAGAAGGGGAAGTCAGAGAAGGCCGAGGGGGGGAAGAAGAAAAAGATGAAAGTGTTAGGATAATTCATGAATCGCATGCTCTTGAGTGGATAAGTGGGGTTCGTGCCTTTTTTAAGGGGTTTTATCTTTTAACATCTTTCAGGGGTTGGTCGATCAAATGGCGTTATTTTTTATATATTTTTTTTAACACTTCAACTGAACGGAGTTTATGATTGGGAGAATTATCCAGATTCTAATGAATATGCATTAAATAATCTGTACAGGCACACACCATGTTTCAATGAAAGTGGCATAACATACAAATAAATGGCTATATTTCTTGTTTACATCACGTGCACAGCACCTTCATCCTCAAAATGTGGGCCAGGAAATATACATGAGTATAAATACATGAATGAATCAGAGGATACCAGCGCGCCGATAAAAGTGTATGAGAAGCCTCCGCCCCAAAACATATTGAAAAAAAAAAGAAAGAAAGAAAGAAAGAAAGAAAACAAAAGACTTTTAAATGGACTTCGTGGAGTCATGATCCGCGATCAATATCATGAAATGTCACTACACCGTAGAAAGAAACGCGCTAGTACTAGCCACGAATAGGTTCGATTCCTTCGAATGGCATAAACCGGGCGCCAAGGGAAGAGTGAACAGTTACGCCATGGCGATCCTCTTCCTCGCATCGCGGACTGAAATTTCCCAGTCCGTGCGGGTCAAGTACACGCCTTCGATGAGAGCAACCAGGAGTAACGCAACAGCAACACCTGTCCAAAGCCCCCAGAGGTGCCACCCTAGTCCGAATGCTGTACCCATACTAATTGGCATAGCCACGGCATAGTAGCAGAATAGCTGGATATAGCCACCAATCTCCTGACGCCCAAGGCCCCGGAGGATGCCGTTGCAACTAGTTGCGAGGGCGTCAACAAGCTGGAACGAGGCACATAGGGGTAGGATCTGGGCGACCATTGTAGCAACTTCTTCATCGGACGTAAAAAGGCGGAGGATGGGGCTTCTCAGTACCGAGAGGGCTATAACATTCAACAGACCAACGCCAACGGCACCGACCATAGCAATTTTGGCAGATGAACGGGCAGCGTTGGTCAATGTTGCACCGATGAGATTGGCGATTCGAGTGCTGACGGCGATGGAGAGAGGGAATGGGATCTGGAAGGCGATGGCTGATATCGTAGAAAGAACAGATTGGGCGGCAAGCACAGTGGTGCCGAAGTAGCTCGAAGCGAGCGTTAGGAGCTCAAATGCAAGAACTTCAGCTTCAACCATAAGGAACCCCGGAAGTGCCAGACGCACCATGGGGCCCCAGTTCTGGAAACCCCGTTTAGTGAAGCCGTTCCAGCACTCCTTCCCGGCAATGAAATAGACGTATAAAAAGAGGAATATTGGGAGGAGGTTATCGGTTATGACAACTGCCAGTGGAGCACCAACGAAACCTAACCCAAGTTTCTAGCATGACAGGTCAGTATGCTAGAAACGCTTCCATTAAAACCTGGACGCCGACACACAGAACCACAACAACAGGAAACACATACCCAGACAAAAAACCAATTCATAAATGCATTGAAAGGAGCACATATTAAGAGAACTGTTAATCCCGCAGAAAAAAGACCTTGCGCCTGGACAAACCGTTTCCCACTTTCAAAACACGCATACGCCGGGGCACCAAGGAGGACGACCTTAAGATATAGACCTGCAAGCATTGCGACCTCTTTATCAGGTATGATAACCGTCAATATCTTATCTGCAAAATACCATACAAAGCCAATGGGAATTGTCAGGACCCAGAGAAAGTACACCATTCTCTGCATGTGCAGTCCAACCAGGTCTTTGTTTCCCGAACCAAAAGCCTGGGCGCAAAGAGTGTCCAGGCTTGTAGCGAGGCCTTGATATATCGAGTAGCCCGTGATGTTGGCAGTCATGCTCGCGAGGGACATGGCTCCGAGCTCTACTTTCCCAAGATGCCCAACTGTAAAGATGCTGGCAACCGTCAAGGAATATTGCAGCAGAAACGTGGCCACCAACGGGGCAGTATATTTGGTCAAAACTTTCGCTTCCCGACTCCATGTTGTGTAGATTAACCCTGCTTCAACTGCTTCCTCCCATTTTCTGTCGACGTCAGTGGGGCTGACATGGTCACCATGTCGCCTAGGTGATACCAAAAGGGCAGTAGTTTCAGTGGCACTGGAGCCAGGGGCACTCTCGGAATCCCTTGGCTGGATAGATTCTTCGTCTCCTCGCGGGACAGCCGTCTCTGACGCTTTCAGTTTCTGGGACAGCAGGCCACTGATCTGGTTTTGGAAAATAGCCGCTTTCCCATGGTGGCGCTCTGGAGGAATAACATGATTGTCTTCCAGTAAGTCCCGTTCCTCCTCCAACGCCTGCTCCACCTCCCAGTCCACTAATGCCTCACGGTCCTGCTCCCGGGAGTGCGGAACAACGGTCCCTCTTGGGCCTGCTGTGAAGAAGCTAGGCCTTCTATAAGATCCAGCCAAAGAATGGGGGCTAGAAACAACCGTCGATGGTGAAACTGAAATTGACCCAGAAAAGGCTCCCTCTAAATGATCACGGCCTTCTCCAATATTGACGGTGATGGGACCATTATTGTGTGGATAAATCGGCATAGTTGTCTGCAGATGAGGAAGATCAGAGGCAAGCAATGCTGGCTCTAAATTACAGATATATTCCTGCCAGTTAAAAAGGTAAGCAAGTACTCAAGCAACCAGTAGACTGACATCAAACGACCCCAATACATCCATGCCGGAATAATCGCACAATTGCAAGGTATGAAAAAAAGCAACTGGCGGATAAATTAAGGGCTAAACCCTCCAGTACAGGGCGGGTCTGATCCAAGACGGAAAATAAACAAAGGAGTGAACTACCTATGAACAAGGGGGTCACGTTGGCAACAACTCCAGTAGCGAAATCATAGGATCTTATACATAGAGACGAACTGCTTATATATATAAAGATAGAAATGGGCGATACATCCTTTCTCTACGCACAGAGGGGGGGATAAATGGCGAGGGTATGGCTTTTGGGCTGGCGCGGGAAGCCTGGGGAAGAAGATTCTATAACCGGCTTAACCAGTTTAACTAGTTAGTTCAACTTGACTGGAAACTGACTATTGCGGGCTGACTCATGCAGGTCTCAAACGGGCGCGTGGGATCAACTCAGCCAATGAGATAAGTCAACGGCTTTATTTTGTCCCGATTTTGCCCCTTTGGGTTTAGCGCGGTATTACTCGTAGGCCGAATTCAAACTCCTCAGCATGTGAATCGTTGCTGTATTAGTTTTCTCGTCGAATACGGTTATTTACTTCAAGTCCGAACATATATTCTGTTATACGATGTATGGTTCCCCATTTATAAATTACCAGCACAGGTTTTTCCATGTTACTTCACCCCAACCATTCGCGAGTTGCTCAGATAAACTAATAGTTTTGTTGACGAGTTATTTGACAGAACTGTCCCCCGCAGCTACTTGAAACCGGGATCATGCGCTGTGCGAATCACAAGAATATCCAAAGACAGATAGATGCTTATCAGCGTTATCCTGGTTGCCAAACAGTCGACCCGATTATTCACCCATACCCCTTTAACTAAATTCTGACCGTTAGATTCCGTCATTGCAGCGCCTGTTCCAACCATGCCGCGCGAGACTACCCCAGAACTCGAAGATGCTGCAAACTGCAATACCACCATAGCCAATGCGCTGGGAAGACAACCAGTCCACGTCACAGCGTATGGGGCCTGCTTCCCCCGTTTCCCTGTTTCCCTGTTTCCCCGTTTCCCCGTTTCCCATTTCCCCCATTCCCTTTCTAGATCCCATCGTATCCCCAGCCGCACTGGCTAACCCGGGGCGCACACAGAGACCTCGCCTCGGAGGGCCCACTCTTCCTCTCCCAGCCCCTCTTCGGCCCTCTGCTCTTCGAGAACAAAGCATCCGACGCTCGTGACCACTGCGCAAACGAGCGCACCTTCCTGTCATGGCTCCGTCTCTCGATGTACCTCGCCGTCGTCTCCTGCGCGATCATAATGTCCTTCCACCTGCACTACCAACCGACCGAACTCGAGCTGCGCATGGCGCTGCCGCTGGGCATCATGTTTTGGATTCTGTCCTTCATCTGTCTGGGTAGCGGGTTGGCTACATACATACGAACGGTGACGAAGTACAGTCGGCAAGCGGCGTTGGTGCAGAGTGGCTGGAAGACGCAGGTGGTGTTCACTGTTGTCGCGGTGTCGATTATCGGGACCTGTATCATCCTTCTGAGCACGGGTTCTCCATCATCTCTTGCCTAGCGGTTCTACATGTATACCCCTGTGGTGGGGAGTCAGGGCCCCCCCCCCCCCCCCCCCCCTCCCCCAGGTGTGGACGGGTTATGCTTTATTTATTTGGGTGTGCTTGGCGTTAGAATTCAGATATCAGGGATTTTGACGTTTATTGGTCTGCCCCTCAGTTCTATCGTTCGATTTATCTCCTTCATATAGCATATCCGATAGATCTTATTTTTATTTTTATTATTTATTTATTTATTTATTTTTGGTTGTTGTCAGCCTACGTAGTCATGATTTCTTGCGGTTATGGACACGGGGAGCTGGAATTCTGCTTATGTTCTCCTTGTAATGAAGTAGGTGGTTGGCAGTTTTGGGACGGTATAGGGTTCATTGTTGCAATCCTCATATTACCTTGCCTATAGATCCCATGCCGGAATTAATTCGATAGGGAAAGAGGACGGGGGGAAGAAATAACTCGTATTGCGATTATTTGCCCGAAAATATTTCAGCGAGAGAAATGTCTTAATAGTGCAGCCAAAGTCAATCGAGGTCAGAACATTGCAAGGTTATGGGGTATCGCCCTCATGTGTTTTTGCTCCGCTAAGCTCAGATCAAATGGAATACTAATAAAATAGATAAACGCGAAAATCAATAATATCAATTTAAAGCATACGATGGAGCGTGGTGTCTCCCTTGTGCTGCTCGAACTCCTTGGTGCCGAACTTCTCCCACCAGTCGAATAGCAGAGAGTTGCAGATGAGCTTGAACCACGGGGTGAACTTCAATTCGGGCTCCTGGAACATCTGTTTGAGTTCCTCTGCCGTAACGTATCTCGTATCGCGCACTTCGTTGGGTCTCACGTCCAGATCAACGTCGGCCTGGATGAAGAGAATGTAGTCGACTGTGCGGGTTTTGAACATGAACAATTAGCTTGACCTTTGATATCACACGAAAACTTACAATAAACACAAATATTCTTCATCTTACTTTCATGCTCTCCCCACTTGCCATCACTGGGGGCCAGGTAGTGAATCCTAGTTAAAAATTCGAACTTCTCCAGTGGAACTTGCTCAGCCTTGATTCCGAGCTCGTGGTTAAGTTTTCTCTGAGCAGCTCTTTTAACACCCTGCACTGCAGCCTCAAACTTTACTCCGGTTTCACCGGGGATGCTAAGCGGGTGAGAGCAACAGGTATTGGTCCACATATCAGGAAACGTGATTTTTTCGGAAGCACGCTGCTGGAGCAACAATCTTTTATTGGAGTCAAAGAGAAAGACGGAGAAGGCGCGGTGAAGGAGCCCACGATCAATATTGCTATTCAAGTGGCCTATGATATGTAAAGTAACGTTGCGAGAAAAGGTCAGCACACACAATTCCTGTCTGTCCACGGATACGAAACAAAAGCGAAGGATAGCCAACAACATTTGTCCAGCGGAAAGTCCGGATAAAGAATTGGACAGGGAACGAATGCAGGGAGGGAAGCACAGACATGTCTTCTTGCTAGCGCTTCCAATGGGCTGGTCATTCTCATCTAGCACAATGCAGACTTCATCCATCAGACGGATCTGCTCCACGTCGTAGCCCTCAAGATCGCCGCTCTCACCGGCAGAGGGGTCACGCTGTGTTCTGGAAAAAGCATGCGCAAGACTTGGGTTCACATCTGGAAAGAGAGTAGTGACATTCTCCGCCGTTATAACTGGAGTAGTCGTCGTCGTCGTGCTTGACATTATTTTGGGTGGGCATTTAACGGTGGTAAAATCTCGAGGACGGGGGCTTGACGGGGAGAGAGGGGGGAGGGAGGGTGGTAAACCGGGAATTGAATCACGGTTCGACAGAATATAATTATGCTATGGCTTCGTACGGAAGGACGCACTCGAGAGTGTTATGTATGATAGCGTAGAGGTGGATTGCACGGGATTAAAGACTTCGAAGACAATGAAATATATAAAATAAATCCCTTGGCGGTTGAGTCGAGTTCGGTGTTGGGGAATCACTCGGGTAACCTTCCTTGGAACTTGTCCCCCTAATTAAGCAAACAACCAATAACTCCGCAAACATCAGATGATGCTCTTGACCTCATCGAAACAGACTTTCACTTTAAACCTACAACCCACCGCAGTTGAGTTTCATAGTGATTAAACCACGTTTATTGTTTTGCGTCTTCCGACAAAAGCAGGAGAGCGGAGGAGAAATTTAACATTTACAGACCGACAATGAGATGCTTTTGTTTAATTTATTGCTGTCAAAGGTGCCTGTTATCGACGAATACTTAATGTATTCAATCCCAGAGATTATAAGCGATGCCGTTGGGCGACAAGTGTTTACCCCCTCTTACAGCGCTCGCTTTTACTCTTCGAATACCCATGGAGCTTTCCTAGGGGACCCTTTTAGCTGTTTTCTGTCAGTTTCGGCACCAGAATGCAAGACGCTATCCCGAGCTTCCATATGATGGATGAGGAACGAACCCGTTCTCTGTATTTTGAGAAGTTGGCTAGTGACAACACCATATCCTGTCCTTTACAGATGATGCGAGATCTATATACTTGGAAACATCTTTATCCAAATGCACCGGAAAGGAGGTGTTGGATTTTGCAAAGCTTTTATTTTATGGAGGCAAGTGGTCGACATACAAAACAATGCATCCCGTGATCCCTCAGCCAACAACCTTTTACTTGTCATTTTACGGAAATCCAAGTTCCAAGAAAGATAAAGAGTAATGGAGCAAATATGGGGGTATATATGAAACTCCGGATGTCAAGACAAAGAGCCTCATCTCTGAGTCCCCGATTGCCATCAAGAAAGTGATCGTGCGATATTCCAAAGTCCATTATCCAGAGATTGACTATCCAGCAGACAGGCCCCTTTTCCCTATGTCGTACAGGGGATTTGCGAAGGAATGTTTCTGCACTATCATACCAAAGAAAGGCTTAATAGTGCTTCTTTTGGCCCCTTTGAACACAATCAACTTTCAAATTCCAGAGAGTATTTTTTTAGAGTCAGTTTTCACTGTCAACTGGCTGATTTGGGTTGCTTATTCAGCTTTTGTATATCGATCAGGATCCACCTACGCCAGTAAATGATTCTGCAATATGCATGTGTAAAAAAAAAAAAAAAAAAAAAAAAAAAAAAAAAAAAAAAACCGAAGCAAAATGGAAGGTTCGGAACTCCCCAGAAATGCAGAGTTCTCAAGCTAAAATTGACAGCTGTCTGAAGAACACAGACACTTGGAATTGGTATGTGCGTGTTCCAAACTAAGTCAAAGATCTTCAACGTGCATAACGATTGTGTCGGGGGTCAGTTTTCCAAACCCAAAGCTTCATTTTCGTGCTAGCCACCCTTTTCGAACTCACGTCCGCGCGTGCATGAAATGGAAAGTCGAACAATTTCGAAGGCCCCAAAACGGATATATTGTTCCTGCAGTCCAGTCCCTAAACGCGATTTCATAGATATTAATCTTCCCCTTCGTTTCATTTCATTCTTACATACATGGTGCAACTATGCCCATGCGCCCAGCCAGGCCAGATGGTTCATGCAGGTCCCATGTCAATATCTGTTCACTCGATATGCCAACAGAATGGGGAGTGCGGTGATTTCAAAACTAAATACTCCTGTCTCATGCAAGGGGGAAATATAAATGTGAAGCTTTTTTAATTCTAGTTACCCATTTACGACTTCATGTATGTACTTTACCGTACGTATAGATTCATATTGTGACTTACAAACCAGGAAATGAAATGAAATTCTCAATTTCCCATATCCTCCCTCCGGAAAAGAGATACAGGACCCAAGTAGCTCACGCTTGTTGTATCAGGACAAATAGAGGGAAGAGCAATAGAAAATTACACTGTTGAGTAGACCATACGGATTTTTAAAAATATAGACAGAGGCGATGCGAAGCGATGAGAGCTTCCCAAGTAACTAGAAAGATAGATAAAATGAAATAAATGCTGGGGGTTCAGAAATGATGAAAAAGGTCGCAAAGGCCAACAACGGGTAACGTGGTTGGGGAAGCCCCTATAGAATAATATAGGAATCGACAAACTCTCTCCATTGCCTCAACTCAGAGGTTGGTTAGTTAGTCAGGCCGTAACACAAAATGGCCATGGATATCCTCTCCCTTTGTTCGTTCTATTCTCCACAGCATTCGGCGAAAAGCAGCAGCTCCGAAATATGTGGATCATGCAGCACGGAATATGCAGGGGAATGGACATGGACCGATACCCATGAATAATAATTATTTATTTTTATTTCCTCCCCATCAACGGTCTTGATTTACCCATTCTCTTTGGACTCCAAGTAACTACTACAGCAGTACTTATTGTCTCTTTCAATACTGCCCCAGCCCTCCACATACATATTTTGCCCCTGTTGCACTGGCCGTTGCTATCACTTTCCTCATGCTTTGGACCTTGTGATGTTAGTTGGGGGCGGGGACAGTTATCGATCACGATCATCAGGTATCATGAGAAGTCAGCCACAAACGGGCCGTCCTACGAAGGCGCTAGTGTGAACCAAAAGAACGATCGTTGAAACCAGCAAGAATACGGGAATGGATCCGGGGAGCAACGGATGCATACACGTCACACATTGCTTCCACAAAATTCCCTGCATTGTGATGGCCATTGGGGTTGGCCACTTAGTGAGCCAACAGAAATGTGGCTTTCGGATAGGATTACCCGAGAGGACATGCAGAAGAAAGTTCCAGGAGCTTAAATCAGATCGAAGCATGCATTACTAAATAGAGTTGAGAAAATTGCATTATGAAATAAAAGGTACAAGAGTAAAAAAAAGAAAGAAAGTCAAAAGCACACGTTAAGCAAAGCAAACCATAACGTGGCCTAGGCAAAGAATGCAAGGCACCAAAAGTATGAACCATCTCCGGGAATTCCACACCAGAACCGTCTTTGCTCCGCTCTCTGATTTCCTGTGCCGTGGTCCGATTTGTGACAACCTGCATTTTCATAGATATAACCAGAAAAAGTGAGATCAAAAATAAAACAACAATAAACAACAATAAATTAACAAAACATAACCAATATACAGTGTCCTGCTGAAGGCCATGGGGACCACAAAATATAAAGCTGAAAAAGGCATTGACATCACAGCACCACCCAACGGTACGCAATATACCATGCGATAATTACAGCAGAGGTCTTTTGTGTGACAGGTTTTGAGTCAAAAAGGGGTTTCCCTATGGCCCATGGGATGGGATTTTACGCTTTTCTCTTTGTCAAAAAAAAATAAAAATAAAAATAAAAAAAGAGTACAGAAAACGAACCAGAAAATTGGATATTTTCACAAATATTGTGGATATGCATTGGCCGTATCATCGAGATATGGCGAAAGGTACGAGGTATTTAACTTTTGGTCAATGGTTTCGAGATATGCAGATATGGGATCGCCATATGGGACAGGAGGTGGTTGGTGCGGTTTGATAAGATCAACCACTACTGGAAGATCCGCGGTTTTGCGTTGAGCTTGACGAAGCTCTCTTCTGCACCCATCCTCGCGATGTCTATAGAATTGACTTCAGTATCCTGTGATTTTGCACAATAACCGAATGCATCTTCTCACCTTCTTAGTGTGTCCTGACGAGCAAAGTAGTGGCCACATTGATCACAACCATGCTGTCTTAGTTTTTTATGCACCTAGAAATGAATATCAACATATTTTCTTTTCAGACAGAAGAGAATGCTAGATCAATCGGAGAAACATACACTATCGACATGTCTTTCAAGGTCAGTTTTCCGAGTAAATTTTTGGGTGCACTGGGGAGCAGCACATTTGTAAGGGAACTTTCGATTCGGATCATGGATTTTCATGTGCGATTTGCAGTTCGAATTCCTGGTGAATTTCATTCCACATTTCTCACATGTATATTTCCCAGCCGCTCCGTATGGGTTTCTCCTTGCTTGTTTCCTGATACCACTAGACTGAATTTTTCCTGCGTCGCCATGAGAGACTGCCACATGTGAGCGTGAAGATCCTAGAGGGATTCTAAGAATCCTATTATTTATCATGAGTCTTTCGCTGTTGTGATTCTCCACCTTTGTATTCTCAGCGCTGCCTTCGAGGTCAAATGGTAGAGCATTAGAATCCCGACCTAAGTTCCAAGGTATGGTGCAGCCCATCTGCTGGTGCTGCGGGTGCTGCGGGTGCTGCTGATGCTGCTGGGACATGGAAAACCCTGTTCCCTGTCTCGAAACTGGAACTGGCTGATAGTGAAGACCACTATGATATGAAGCCACAAACCGCTGCATCATTTCGTTGCCCGCCATTCCACAATGTGCGGGACTCGAGTATAGCATTGAGGTAGCCGAATGAAGTTGTGTACCATGTAAAATCGATTGAGCCTCTTCAAATGGAAGAAGGTCTGATATCGCTCCCATGGGAGAAAAGGCGTGACTCGGGCCACATTCACGTTGCCATTCTTGAGGCGGTTGTAGAAGCGACTGAGGCGGTGAGCACATAGATATTTGCGAGGGACTGAAAATACCAAGCCCAGCAGTAGCAGGCGAATTGGCTGAGAGGACTGCCGTTTGCGCACAGCTTTGGGGAGGAGTAGGGTAAGGAGAGGAGGCATTGACAGCTATGGGATGACAGGCAGATGTATAGAAGTGCGGAGAGTGTGTCGCGTGAGACCTAGGAGTGAGGTCCATAACTGGCAGAGATGGAATACAATGACGACAAGAGATCTTGAGCAAAATATAGAGCAGGAACCAAAAAAACTGTTCACAGGATAAGTGAAAATATATTGATAGTGAAGCGGTAGTAAAGTAAGCAATCGTTGGAGCGAAACGCTGAAGTGAGGAACTGGTGTATGGAGCGGGACAGGAAATAAAATATTAAAAGAATAAAAAGAAAAACAAGTGAGAAATTTCGGAAAGCAGAATGAAAAGAAAAATAATAAAAAAAAAATAATAAAATCCTGGATAGGGCATCGAACCCAGCGGCCAGATAAACCGCCCCTGAGTCCTGTAGTTTGGTTAGGTACCATGGCATGTGGAGAGATAGAGCGATGCACGAGCGTGAAGAAATAACCCTGCATAAAACATGCAAAAAGACAATATGAGAAGTTGAATGAACGCCCTGCCACCGCTACCTGTATGCACTGTAAAACACAGATGCTTGCAGCGAGCCTAAAGAATTCGGCTGGAAACTAAAATGGCATAGACGGACCCGACGGTACGGTATGCGCATGCACCTTATCTCACAGTCCAAAACACAGGCAACGGGTTAATTAGTTGGAGAAATTCCTGGGCAGCAATAGGCGGATCGGGCAAACTGTGAGATTTAAACGAGGGAACAGGTAGAGGGGCCTCTTTTGATGTTGTATCGGTTCAAGCACCCCAATGATCTTCTCAACACTTTACCTCAACTAGACAGGCTCTTCTCTGTCTGTCGGCGTCGTAGAAATTCAAAATGAAAAACGTAGAGGGTGGGGTATATGCGGGAGATCTACTGGACATGAAGAGAGGCGCGAGGCGCGTACAGGCGGATAGATTTAAATATAACTCGTCAAAATGAGTGGGTGAAATATGTGTGGAAAATTCCGGAACCGCCACGCAACTCAGGGCATGCTTCTTCCTAGGATATCCAGGAAATGTATCTACCAGTGAGAGAGAAATTATCCTTACCAAGCATATTGAAAATGCTGCGTAAACATTTTGTGCATATCCGACATCAGATGTATTAGCCATCATAGCTTTTTGTTCTGGCGTTAAAATACTCAAATTTCAATGATTCCTCGGAGAAATGGTTGCTCCCAACTGATCGATCTGGCTGCGGAGGTTATCCGCAACTTCAACCATGTCTGTCAAGCGAGGCGAACTGGGGCCGCTGTGGATCCGTGATCCACTTCTCTTGGCGCAGAGCGGGAACTGGCTTTAAAATATCTTTTCCCTGCAAAAGAACACGGCGGAAAAACCTTGACGACGATGAGGAGACAATTTGTGTGCTGGAACCTTCACTTGAATGCCAGAAAACGGACGGGACGACGAGGGTGGACATTGGGGAATTGTTTTCTCCGAGTCACACAGCGTCTGCTGCACTCATATGCAAGAATAATAGCTAAAGAATGGAGAGTGAGTTATCTTCAAGAGTGTTATCCGGACCTAGCATATCGATCCAGAAGGTAAGAATAGCCAGAGAGGGCGAACCCCAGGGAGAGGTATCAGATCAGATTCTTACAGTGAATCATGTGAGATCGTACTTGTTGGACTCGCCATCCTCACCACATCTATACAGTCAGGACAGGTATTGGCAAATTCTAACTTACCAATGGGGGCAGAGAGTTAAGTTAGACGCCGGGAGTTCACGCTTCCAGCACATAAACGGAAAGTCTAGGTTTAGAACCTAGACGCAAGTTGCTGACACGGTTTGTAGGTTGGACTGCACACAATTAATGAGGCTGACTGAAAGAGATGGTTTTTTCGGGTATTGTGTAATGATCTATATAGGTTAACAGATTCATCTCCACGCGTCTGACTAAAAATATGTTTCCTCACCTCTGCTAGGCTCAAACCCATCAGACTAGAAACTGAAGATATCAAAAGAATATTCATATCATACAGACAAATACCAGCCTAGATGAATTCTATGAACTTGGTCACAAGGCATATTCGACTTTTGAGTTTGCAAGGAAATGGTGCAGCCACAGAAGTGAAAATAAATGATGCAAGTGATAAAAAACAAAAATATTGATAGGCCCAACATAATGCTGCTAGCAGATGATGTTGGTACTGCCAGTGGGTGAGGATTCAAGGAATGATGTGACTTGCTCTTGGAAATGTGATGTGGTGTAGTGAGTGAATGTAGTTATCTCACACTAGCTAGAGGTCGGTAGGGGTGGGGGTGAAATCCGCAAAGCAAAACAATTTGCGTTTTTAATGTCAAAATCACCTAAACGCAACAGCCAATGGATTGTGAAAATATCCCTGTCATTGTAAATTGGGCTGCAGCCACAACGGCTCTGGGCATCAACCTTACATCCTGAGCGATGTTCTAATATCCAATCATTTCAGCCACTTTTCCCTTTGCATAAAGTGGTAGGGATGTGAAGGAAGGGTTGCCGATCATCTTTTACATATTCGGGAGAGTTCAGGCTATTCAATGTCATCATTATCATGGCATCTGTTAGTGATGGGCTTTGAAAACTACACCCGCTAGTCCGAAATTCACTTAAAGGAACATTTTGACGGTCATACCCAAAGGAAGCTTTGACTAAACATCCACGACATCTGCTGGAGTGTTATCCCAAGCCAACTTTGTGAAATGGTTAGAAAACGTAGATATGTGTTAGCAGTCCATAAACTGCCTTCATTACTCAAATATCTGCTGCGTTCTCAACGAGCGGGTGGATGAGGCGTGATATCAATGTAAAGAATAGCCACCACAGGGAGAAATTTTAGGAAAGCCTTCGTCTAACCCACCGTTTCACAATATTAGCACCAGATATGACCGACCGGATACATTTCCAGTGTTGAACAACTAGGCTACCATGTCCTTGAGTACGGGTATCTATGCATAATCAGTACTAGCGTAAATGGGCCGAATGAAGCAGTGGTCAAAGTCGGGGGCGGCGGGAGTTACTCACCAAGCTACTGAAGTTGAATTCAGGCTCATCAACGAGCAGATCCTCCATTAACCAGTCAGATTCAATGACGTGTGGTGTACATTTTGACAGATCCTCAAATCTGTCTTGGAACTAAATATAAGCCTTTTAACGATAGGATATCGAAAGATATGTCTGATCTGTAACGTAGGCATTTCCCTGTCTCAAACTGATGACGACTTCGAAAATCCCCATTAGCAAGAAGCGCGCGTAGCTTTAATCATATATGAGCAGCAGAGTCCGCCATTAGCGGTAATCATACAACACTGAGCCACATCTCCTGATCGTAAAAGCGCCCGAAACGGTAGGGAGTGAGATTCATCAAGATGTCTAGGGTGGTGAGACCCAAAACGGCAGGGAGAACGATTCATTATGATGCCTTAAGCAGTGGGAGATGAACTCACAAGCAATGAGCAATGCAAGACCCGTCCCAATGATTCCTAACTCCCAGAGGCTCCAAAAATTCATTTGATAGAATGCAATCCCTGGCTCCCGTATGCTACTAATTTTGTCGCATGAAAATGCGGAAATCCAAACGTATATGAGCACTTCAACAAGGTTGGTTCGAAAAGGATTCCGTGCCATAAGAACTGAAGAGTATAAAGCGAGGAACGACAGAAAAAAAAAGAGAGTCTCAAATGATTTCTGGATAATAGACTGAGATAAAAGCTTTTTTTGAGTTTGCAATTGTTGAAATTGTTGCAATTTCGCATTGAGTCTCAAAAATATGGAATATACGTCGGCTTCAAGACCTCCTTCCGAGGAATTGGTGCTGGCGTTATTGTTATTTCCGAGAGACCCTTTATTAAATTTTTTTGTCCCATATGCTATGAGTCGTGAAACCAGTGAGGAATGCAGGAAGAAAGGTCGGCGTTCATGGCCAACTAGATCTTACCTATTTGAGGCTCTCTGCACGATCCTATTGCATAGGCTTCAGTATCAAACCTAGATATCCTCAAGAGTATATGCCTCGAGAAGTTCGTCGAGAGGGTATGTTACGAGTTGCCAAACCACAAACTCTCAAGCATATCCTTGACTCTCGTTAAGACCCCAATAGCCATCATCCTGGTTACAAATTTGCCATTTTATAATCCTGGTGGTGGCAGCGATGGTGCGAGGCATTTTCAAAGGAGTCCAGCAGTTGTTGTCCCACATTTGGTCAAAACTGGATGGGGCAACTGGAATTGCTTGTATAATAGAGCTAAAATCATATCAGTATATCTTCCAACTACCAAGATTTTCGGAGCTGAAAACATACTCAAAGAGCTTCTTTATGATTGGGGCAAGAGGCTCGTATCAGCAATCATAGGGAGTTCCAATGAATCATTATCTGGTAGAATTATCGACAAATTGTCGGTCGGGACATACGTCTGGACGGATTGTGCAGACCACATCAAACAACTTCTATAACAATTCAGAGCGCTATATATATATATATATATATATATTTTCTCAAGTTATTCCTGTTGACTCCATTTCAACAAGAGTCCAATGAGCCTTGGGCACTGATATTGCACATTAGCTCACTTGTCCGTTCAAAGACATTACTGAAGAAATTTACGGCAGGGTGGCACGGTAGTCTGAAAGACCATTTCAATATAACCAAAACGGGAATCCCATTGGATATATGAAGTGGAAACTGATGCCGTCGGATAATCTCTTAGAAAGATATTTCCAATCTCTCTATATGCATTATCCTTGATGGCGTTTTGCAAACCATTTTGGCGTTTAGTTCCCAGATGAAATTGTATTCACGAGTTGGATGAGCTATTCCAAAGAGAGATTGGTTGTTTTAATATAGTTGTTACGAAGGAGACGCCCAAAGTCTGCGATAACTAGCGTAAGATACAACAAACGATACACTAGTAGTAGTTATCACATGATTGTATTGCTTAGCTAAGCAGATATGGAGCCCCAGGTCCAACCGTCATACCCGTCTTGCACCCACCTCCAAGCATCATATGGCGTGGTCCAGCGTATCAAGGTCTATTTCGACGTGACAAGCATCTGCACCCGTTCCGGTGCTTTAAATGCGATGCTTATGACGCCACACCTATTGACAAAGACTCGTGACATACCAAAGAAGACTTTATAAACTCAAATACATAAAGGCATAGGACAGGCAACATGCTTTCAGGCTGCCACTTGGGGTGTTGATAATACTTTATCTCCTAACGACCCTGAGCTCCTAACGACACCATGGGACAGGGCTATTCCATTACCACTTTGTCAGCTGGCTCTGCCGGCATCGATGTGCCAGAGCTCGCAGGTCTCGTATACGAAAAATCCTTGGGAACTGCTAGGTTCATGAAGAGCATTCGTGCTCGACATAGAAATGGTCTCGTTTTTGTTAAGGTGATAATAAAGCCGTATCCGAGCATGAAACTGGATCCTTATGTCAAGGCCATTCTACGTACGTATTTGTTTCTGCGATGAAGTAGCTGTCATAATCTAATTAAGTTTGGGTAGGTGAACGAGATATACTAGAGCAAGTTCCAAATGCCCTTGGGTATCAGCGGATACTGGAAAGTGGGACTGGAGGTTACCTTGTCCGTCAATATATTCATAGTTCACTGTACGATCGTATGAGGTACGTTCATAACAACCGCCCCTCTGATGATGAAATACACAGTCCTGTTTAACGCTGTACAGCACACGTCCATTCCTCGAAGATATCGAGAAGAAATGGTTAGCGTACCAGCTACTATGCGCTCTCCGGGATTGTCATTCCCATGATATCTTCCATGGAGACATAAAGACGGAGAATCTGCTCGTAACGTCCTGGAACTGGTTATATTTATCGGATTTTTCATCGTCATTTAAACCAACATTTCTTCCAGAAGACAATCCGGCCGATTTTTCATTTTATTTCGATACGTCTGGCCGCCGGACATGCTACTTAGCTCCTGAAAGATTTCTCGTCACGGGAGAAGAACCTGAGGGTAGGGGAATGAACTGGGCAATGGATATATTTAGTGCTGGTTGCGTCATTGCCGAACTATTTCTCGAGTCTCCGATTTTCACCCTCAGTCAGTTGTATAAATATCGAAAGGGGGAGTATGACCCAGAACATAGCCATCTGTCAAAGATAGAGGATCCCAATGTAAGGGATTTAGTCGTTCATATGATCCGTGTCGACCCAGAATCCAGATACTCAGCTGAAGAATGCCTCAATTTCTGGCGCCACAAAGCTTTTCCTGAATATTTCTACAGCTTCCTTCACCAATACATGGGGCTCATTACCGATCCCTCGTCTGGTGGTGCTCGTATTGGTCTCAGCCCTGGTGACCTGCGAGAAGCCGATGAGCGCATTGACAAAACATATATGGATTTCGACAAGATATCATATTTTCTGGGCGTTAATGCTAAACCTACTGTCGACGGATCAAGTCTCACATACCCATCACTCAACTACCCCGATTTCCCCCTTCAACTCGATTTACCGAATCATGGTCACCAATATTCCAAACCACAACCTGAATCTGATGATGGGACCTTGATATTTCTCACACTTGTTGTTTCAAGTCTACGAAATACTGTAAAAACATCGACTCGAGTTAAAGCCTGTGATATTCTGTTGGCCTTCGCTGAAAGAGTTCCCGATGAAGCAAAACTAGATAGGATTCTGCCGTTTGTGATGTTTCTACTTACTGATCGTTCAGATATTGTTAAAGTGGCTGCAATCCGAACGTTAACACAACTTCTCGCCATGGTCCGTGTGGTTTCCCCGGTCAATGCTTACATCTTCCCAGAGTATATATTTCCCCGCCTCCAGCCATTTATACCCAGCCTCAGTTCAAATCCCAGCCCAATCGTTAGGGCAACCTACGCTTCCTGCATTGCGTCTCTCGCTCAATCCTCCCTTCGGATATTAGATATGATTCAAACCTTGCGCTCGGACATCCGACTGGGTTCACTTGTCCCAGAAAGCACAGAAGCAGGTTGGACGGAAGATGTGTCCTACCATAATCTTTACGATGTTGCTCAGGTTGATCTTCTTGACTTTTTCGAAGCTCATACTAAGGCTCTCCTTACGGATAATGATGTTTCCGTTCGTCGGGCCTTCCTTGGATCTGTCTCCAGTCTTTGTGTCTTCTTTGGTAACCCGAAGGCAAACGAGGTGATTCTGAGCCACCTCAATACTTATTTGAATGATAATGATTGGATACTCAAGTGCGCATTCTTTGAGGCAGTTGTTGGAGTCGCAACATATGTTGGAAGTATAAGTTTAGAAGAGTTTATTCTACCACTTATGGTTCAATCAATGACGGACCCAGAGGAGTTTGTTATTGAGAGAGTCCTTCGCTCTCTTGCTCGTATGGCGAAACTGGGGCTATTTCAACGATCAACGACATGGGACCTCCTTCATATCGCGGTACGATTTTTCGTCCATCCTAGCATATGGATACGTGAAGCCGCCGTTCAATTTGTTGTGGCTTCAACAACCTTCCTCTCCCCAGCCGATACGTATTCCATTATATCACCCCTTGTTCGTCCTTTCCTCAAAACCAACACAACAGACATATCGGAAACCCAGCTTTTGGATGCGCTGAAAAAGCCGCTATCCAAAAGTGTGTATGATATGCTATTGATATGGGCAACCAAGTCTGAAAAAGGCCTCTTCTGGAAAACTGCTGCTCGAGATGGAACATTTGTTCTGGCAAGTCCGCCTGCTCCAAGTATAGGGAAAATGCGGCCACGGAGCGGCAATTTCTCGTCTAACGGTCTCACCAAAAATGAAGAAGATGAGCAGTGGCTCGCTCGATTGAAGAATATTGGGATGACCCAGGATGACGAATTCAAGTTATTGGCTCTCAAAGAGTACATATGGAGAGTAGCGATGAGACGGGCAAAAGAAGGACATACCAGTTCCACGGTGCCTCTATCCAACATTATATCTTTAACTCAACACGGGGTAACTCCGCAAACGGTCTTCTTTGATAAAAATCAAGGGATGGAACAACAACAATCATCCATTGGCAAAGCTGAAGCGTCTCCTGGAGAAAGAAAAGTTCATACAATTGCCGATGCACTTCTTGACGCCTCAACCACAATTAATGCAGCACCTGGGTCGCGCCGTAAGAACATCCCACTCAAGGGCAGCAGGCGGGTAGAAAGCGTAAGCTCTCTTGCTGTTCCCCATACAGTTTCACCTGAGTCGCCATCCCAGAACCCCCATGCGGGGTCGCACGATTCATCAGCATCTCCATCTGATGTAGAACAAAGAGATAACATCCTCAGAAACCGAACTGAAACCGTATCGGAACGTAATACCTCGTTGGACCGTAATGGTTCTAACAATCATGCCACTTCCCATCCGGACGGCAAAGCTCATCGTCGATCTTCTGCCATAAACCTCCTCAACCGTAATGAAACTACCAAAGCATATGCTGAAACGTCAACTACGTCCATGAATGCTTTCGGTAAAGTGGATGTAACCTTTCAAAGAGACCAATTACGGCCATCGCCGCTCTCTGTGGTGCAGGACCTCAATGTTCCACCAGAGCCACAGCAGCAACAATATCGCACAAACCATACGTACCGTGGCAATGATCCTACAATACTCAAGCTTCTGGATGCGGTGTTTGCTGAGAATTGTCCCACTGATGTATTTGAGTTCGGTCCTACTGTTTCCCCTGTGAGCGCTCATCATCCTATCAAGAAAGCCAGTTTCCAAGAACCAGAAAAGCCCTGGAGGCCTCAAGGAAACCTTGTTGCAATGTTCGGTGAACACAGCGGACCCATAAACCGCATTGCAGTCGCCCCTGACCATGCGTTTTTTGTCACAGCCTCAGATGATGGTTCTTTGAAGATCTGGGATACCACGAGGCTAGAAAAAAACCTAACACCACGATCGCGACAGACCCACCGCCACAGCAATGATGCGAGAGTGAAATGCGTTACATTCGTCGAGAACACTCACACATTTGTCAGTGCAGCTACTGATGGAAGTATTCATGCTGTTAGGGTTGATTATCGCAGTATTAATGATGCTGTTCGATATGGGAAACCGCAAATTGTTCGCGACTATAACCTTTCTTTCCATTCAAATAACTCAGGTGAATACGCCGTTTGGATGGAACATTATCGGTCGGAAACCCATTCTATCCTTTTTGTAGCCACGAATAGATCCCGAATCTTGGCGTTAGACATGAAACTGATGACCCCGCTATATACCCTCGAAAACGCAGTTCATCATGGAACTCCCACAACATTTTGCCTGGACAGGAAACGCAACTGGCTTCTCCTAGGCACATCTCACGGGATTCTTGACCTCTGGGATCTGCGGTTCCGCATACGAGTAAAATCCTGGGGTCTTCCCGGCGGAACCCCAATACATCGGCTGGTTATCCACCCGCTTAAAGGGCGAGGTAGATGGGTGTGCGTGGTGGGAGGTAGCAACGACGGTTCGGAAATTATGGTATGGGATATCGATAAAGTCCAATGTAGAGAGGTTTATCGCACTGCGTCTGCGGCTGCTAATCCCGTCAATGGAAGCAAGGATTCGCCCAAAGCTAACACACGGAAGAACACCAACCTGGTAGCAGATATTAGCTGGAAGAACTATGAACCATGGCGTGTCGATGAGGATCGACCTGAAGGCATGCTGGGCCGATTTGCCAGCAATCCCCAGTCGTTTGCGGGTGTCGAGCCAAGCTTAGGAAACGAGACTGGTCTTGTCCCGTCTAGCGGTGGCGATATCCGTGCCCTTGCAGTTGGGCTTGACGTACCTGAAAATAATCAGGATGGGTCCAAATGTGGCTTTTTGATATCTGGTGGGTCGGATCGGAAAGTCCGCCTCTGGGATGTCACGCACCCTGATGCTTCGATGGTGATCAGTGGTCTGGAGGTAGTTCCTGACGGAGTTCCACAGAAACCACGATATGACACAACACACCCCACTCCGTCGTTAGCAATAACCACTGAGTGGGTACCTACTGGCGGGACGTCGTCTAATGGCAGTGCCAAGGACCTGGATTCCGCAAAAAACCGTGGAACCAAAAATGCGGCGACAGGACCAGTGAAAGCTAGTCATCCTCCCAGGAGTACAGTAATCAGTTTGCAACAGCAGCAGCTCCTGAAAAGTCATCTCGATTCGATCCTTGATGTTGCTCTCCTGGAGGTTCCGTATGGGATGACTATCAGTGTGGATCGTGGTGGGATGGTATATGTATTTCAATAATTATCTGGGTTAATGGTTACGTGTATAAGCCAGGTCTTTAATTCAAATACAGGCATGCAATTGATACTTCTACGCCAAATCCCTGTTCAACTTCACACCAATAATCGTACCTTTCATAGGATCGAGACTAAACTCCAGTGATAGTTTCAATCCTTAAATCAGACATGCGTCTGCTGTTTTCAGAGTATGCTTCCCTCGATCACTTCTATAACAGGATATGAACGATGTGAAACTTTCGATATCAATCCCACTAAAAATCGTAGTCTACTGTAAAGTTGTGAAATGCATATTTCAGAATATGATCACTTCCTTGCTAGATTAGTATCTTGTTTCCTTTTATATTTTAGCCTTACAGATGTTCCTCGTTCTTCTGGTTCAGGGCAAAGCTTGGGTTTTCACAGATCAGTTCGCTCCACCCGCTCCAACCAACACGATTGGAAATCATCGACCTGTTCAACCCTTCTTTCGCTTCAGGGATCGCATCGCTTGCGAACTCCAGTAACTATCTAGCTCTGTATTAAGTTCGCCCCGATAATCCAGAACGTTCTAGAAACATTCAAGAAATTGCCTTGCTCGGAAACTGGTGAATTCCGCTTCTTCCAAAAACCAGTTGATTGATTAATCAAGTTAACGAACCCGATTGGCACTTATTTAGTTATAAGCCAAGTACATAGTTAGCTCCCGACTTTCTCGCATCCGACTAAGTAATAATACAAAGCGCACCAGGTGCGGTTGAATGCAATCCAACAGCTGTCATTGGGACCTGGCGTCTGGTAATATGCCCGCTACCCTCTGGTGCTAGGCCGTCTCATAGCGCCAGGTTTGAGAAAAAAATTGATATATATATATATATATAATTTAATCACTTCACTGAAGTAAAGTGAAAAGGAAGATATATTCCCCCCGGGATAATATTATGCTGCGATTCATGGCTTAGTCTAGCTCGAACCCACTTGCCGGAGTCCGAAAATAGACCTCCTCAGTCTTCTCAGCTGTGATTTTTTTTCTCATATTATCTGTGGGGTAGTACGTGGGGTGATTTAATCTTGCATTCTTTTTTTTTTTTTTTAAAAAAAAAAAAAACTTCCTTTATCATCTACTGAGATTTTCTCAGTCTTCCAGTCATGGATATCGATCCTAACTTGACACGCGCAGATTTGATAGTAATCCAAAACTTGTTTCACGATGTCCCTAAGCTAAGGAATCAAGGTGTGAAAGTACCGAAAAGTCTGTCAAGTTGTTCCAGGAGGACACGGGATGCCCAATGTGACTGTGTTGGGAGTCAGCAGAAACTCAACAGTGAGAGTAAAATGAAGTATATTATTTCCCATGCATTGCTAACAGGATTCCAAGACGATGCCGCGAGATCCGATCACCTCTATCACGCTGAGAAATCGTCCGTCGAAACTTTGGCTTCATTCAACAACCCTCAACATGAAGACTTCGAACCCACCGTCTTTGTCATGTGGGATCTCAAGGATGTTAAGCTTCCCCGACTTCTAAATGACTACCTCCTGCAACCATATATCAGGTTTGGGCGGAGTATGGTCCGCGTCGAGACGGATGTGGTCATGCTCACGCATCTCCTCCTGTACTTTGCAACATCCGTCCCGAGTGCAATTTTCCTGTATTACCATTTCAGCTGGATCCATGGAGTATTTCATTGGGCCATGCAATCCTATTACGTGGGAACATACACCCTCATGATGCATCAACATATCCACATGGGGGGGATTTTGTCACCCAGGTACTCATGGATTGATATGTTGTTCCCATATATCACCAACCCGTTAATGGGCCACACTTGGAATTCCTACTATTACCACCATGTCAAGCACCATCATGTCGAGTCCAACGGGCCCAATGATCTCTCGTCCACCATTCGCTATCAACGCGACGATCTGGGTGACTTCCTCTGCTACGTTTGCCGATTCATGTTCTTTGTCTGGCTAGAGCTTCCGTTATATTTCTTCCGAAAGTCGAAAACACGATTGGCTATGAAAGCAGCATTTTGGGAACTTGGAAGCTATCTTGCTATTTTTCTCCTGTTTGCCCTCAATTGGAAGACTACCACGTTTGTCTTTGCTTTGCCCCTCTTACAGTTACGGGTGGGGCTGATGGTTGGAAATTGGGGCCAGCATGCCTTTGTGGATGAGATTGACCCTGACTCCGACTTCCGCTCAAGTATCACATTGATAGATGTTGCCGTGAGTTAGATTCCTGTCTGTTGTTCCCCTATGTAGGAGCAGTGCTAACAATGCTGTTTCACAGAGCAACCGTTTCTGCTACAATGACGGCTACCATACTTCTCACCATTTAAATCCTCTGAGACACTGGCGGGAACATCCCGTTGCCTTTCTCAGACAGAAAGAGCGCTATTCCAAAGAGCACGCGCTTGTATTCCATAACATCGACTATGTTATGATAACTGTCAAACTGCTGCAGAAGGACTATGCCCACTTGGCGAAATGCCTAATTCCCATTGGAGAGCAGGTACATATGAGTTTAGATGAGATTGCTGCCATGCTCCGAACGAAAACACGTCGATTTAGCGAAGCAGATATTAAACAGAAGTTCAGGGTGAACCACTAGGTTTTGAGGTAACAAACTATCCACATATGTTGTTGTATTTTAGCTAGTTATTTTTGGCTGTTCGATTATTGGAATTCGGAAATCCTATTTTCAACATCTCAAACCGCTTCTGATAATTATCTGACTCACTCAACCCATCCCTTTATGCAGTTGACATTTCTTGCAGTGAATTGTGCTATATCTCTTTCTTAATAGTCAATCTTCACTCACAGGTTTCAATCCAGCAGAGCAAGTAAACTTGCGCATCTTGACTACAAGAGATTAATCAGCAGAAGATCATGACATAGTTATTCAAGTCTCTTCCTATAATAATAATAATAATAATACCGCATTAATATATCTTCCGGTATTGCTGTGTTGTTCTCGATTAGCTCTGGTACAACCCCAACTCTCCGACCTGAAACCAACGACAACTCCTGTTTCTGCCGGATATCGTATCCATGGTTCGCTGAGGGCACAAGATCTTTGGCTTCAGACAGGATGTTTTCTTAGATATTTTTGTCCTGGTCGCCATGCAATGCTCACGTTTCCAAGCGGCCCAACGCTGTCCATCTCGCTGCGATATTTCAAAATGAGCTTTGGATAACTACCGTGTGATACCCGGGCAATGCTGGATGGGCTGGACCAACTAATAAATAGGAGATAGTTAAACTATTCTTTGAGATAACTATTCTTTGAGATGACATTAATGGAGCACCATAAAAAACCCGCCTTAAAACTTGAACCGCCAACTGTGGCTCCTCAAGTCCCTATTTTCCCGCAATCCCCTCCGAAAAACCCGTTCATATCGCCATTCGCCTCGGCTTCACCCACTATCCCTGGTCGCGGTGAAGTTGTCCTCTCCCTGCTGTCCCCGTCCATCCCAACCATCTCAACCCTCTCCTATAAATACCCCTTAAAGCTCCTGACAAGGACTCCTGCAACGACGCTCAATTCTAAATACCCGGAGTCTGCAACCACCCCCGTCCACCTGTATTTGCTCACATACGGCGGAGGGTTGCTTCCCGGTGATCATATCGAAGTCTCAATTACCCAGAAGCCACGGACAAGGCTGGTAGTGACGACTCCGCAGGGAAGCACGAAGATATACAGGACGGAAGGACGCAAGGAATCACACGGAGCCAGGGACGCTAAGGAACAGAGCCGCAGCTGCGATCAAACCCCCTCCGCCTGCAAGAGTAGGCAAATACTAGACGTGAAGCTAGGAAGCCATTCAGCTCTCTGCTATCTCCCGGAACCATCACAGCCGTTCGCAAATAGCCAATACGAGCAGACGCAGTATTTTACTCTTCTCCAGGACAGACTGATGGATGAAACTGCCAACCAAACAGATAAGAACAACCTCAACCAATCCCCAAGCCTCTGCGTGCTCGACTGGGTCAGCCAAGGCCGCGCAGCGAGGGGAGAAGACTGGTCTTTCCACTCCTGGAAGGGGAGGAACGAAATATGGTCCCAAGATCCAGCGAGTGGAGCACGCAAACTCCTCCTCCGCGACACGGTCATATTGGAAGACGAGACGAGGCATTACACTGAGGAATCCAGCTGTTTAGATTCCTCCACCACAACAATGTCATCTCCAAATCCTCACTCTCCTCCGATCAGCCTCTCGATACCGGCACGCACACATCCACATGGCATCTTGGGCACTTTGATACTCCACGGACCCCTCTTCAGCTCCCTCTCCTCCTTCATAATGACAGAGTTTACCTCCCAGCCACGTCTCGGCGGGCGGAATTGGTCTTCATCCGCAGCAACCTCCACGCCTGCTTCTGCCAATAGTACGAGGGACTCCTCCGTCCTGTGGACAGCCGCCCGCATAAGGTCGAATTTCGTGCTTGTGAAATTTGGTGCAAGAGACTTTGAGAGCGCAAAGGAGTGGTTGGGGGGATTGATGAGGAGGGAAGGGAGCTTGGTGGATGAGTTTGGGACGGAGGCTTTGGGATGTTTGTAGTTATAAAACCTGTTCATTCCACGCGCGTTGGTTTGAGATGAGTTTTCCATTTCAGTGGCAGGCCACACATTTTTATACATACCCAGCAAGTTTTTGCTCTTCCCATCAGTTCAGTCATGTGAAATTGGCTCAGGGCTTTGTTACGGTGCACCTGCCATTATGATTAATATTCTTTTTAATACTGTCATTCGAACTCCTCAAGAGTTAATTAGTTAGATTTCAAAGTTTTACCACAAAAATGCATATGACTTTCCAACGGCAGTCGTTGTATATCAGATGTTAGAGCGAAGGAACATGGGAAGGAGACGTTGCACCGGGCAGAGCGTTGCATCAAAAGTTTTTGAGTGGTATGATTAAAACTAATATAATTAATATTAATAGATGATCTAAAAATCTTCTATTTAATAGCAAGTTGATTTATATACTTATTAAGAAGAGTTTTTTCGGGTCTAGTTTTTTCAATTGTTCTTTCATAATTTTATTAATTTCTTTATTTTAATACTCTGATTCATATATTTCAGCTACTTCCATAATTCAGTTATCATCTCAGTTTTTAAATTAAATATAGATTTTTAATCTGCTACTCTATCTAATAAACATATCTTCTTAATCGTATTCAAATATAATAATAGTGCTGTTGAGAAACATATGGAAATTTTAGATTTGTTAGCAGAGGAAGAGATGTTTTATTGAGTGGTTCAATTATACATCCAGCCCATGTTCCACGGATAAAGAAACACAACCAATTCACCCCCTGCCAGGAGATGCTGGACAGCTTCCAATGAATAATAGGTACAATTATACTTCGTACACGATTCCACAATTAACCAAGCGCTTTTACAGTAGTGTGGTGTCAACTCAGTTGAATGGCGAACAGGTCTCCATACGAATGAGAATTTGATGTTGCGCTCGTACATTAGCAACTCGTAACTAATTATGGGTATGTATTATAAATTACCAAAAATACAACCTTTCTTTGTTTCTCAACTTTGTAAAAAAAATTTTTGGATATCAAAACTTCCATTCGAAGCTATATCGATTGCAAAAAGAAGTGATAGCTGTCCACAATGCCCCACAAACACAAACGACGGCAAAGAGACGATGAGTATGAAACCCTCAACCGTACGAACCTAGGTAATAATCTCCATTCTAACCAATGTCTTCTCATCTACAGCGACAACTTTGACCTTCCCCCGACAAAGATCGCAAAGCCCCTCCCGGCATTTATCAGTAATGGAGACTCCAAAGAAACCTCAAACAAACGGCGCCAGTCGAAAAAGTCCGTCCAGAACCCCTTCATAGATGATACCCCGAAAGCATTTATGCGCATGATGCAGCAGTTTCAAAAAGCCACCTCTTCAAGCGCCCCGCGCACTCCATCCTGGCAGGAAGATGGCGGGACGAAGTCCAATAGGCAACGTAAAAGGGGAGGAGAACGTGAAGTTGGCGCACTGATTGCAAATACAACGACATCTTCGCAATCGCAACCTGCTTCCTCCTCTTATTCTATTCCGAAAATCCTCCCCGGTGAGCGCATGTCCGATTTCGCTGCACGTGTCGACCAAGCTCTACCCCTGTCCGGCATCTCGAAGAAATCTGGCACGTCAAGCATAAGCAAGGATCCTGCGCTGAAGAACCTGCGAGAACAAAGACAGACAAAACATGAGCGGAGACTTCTGCGTCTACAGCGGGAATGGAGAGCCGAAGAAGCGCGGATTAGGGAGCGGGAAGAGGCTGAGCGCGAGGAAAGGGAGGCGGAGCAGGACGAGGTCAATGAGCAGTGGAAGGCGTGGGAGGAGGAGGCGGGCTTGACGAAGAAGAAAAAGAAGGCTGCAGCGAAGACTAGGAAGAATAAGAAGAACAATACAAGGAAAGGGAAAGCTGGTCTGTTGGATGGGAATGCAAGTGATCGCGACACCGAGGGCAACGACAACGAAGGTGACGACGACAACGACGATGATGACGATCCATGGGCTAAGCTTAATCGAAAAGCGAAGGCTATGCAGCCTGTTAATCCGTTTGAGGTTGTCCAGGCTCCTCCTGCACAGTTGACGAAGCCGAAGGAGAAGTTCAAGATGAGAGGCGTGGGTGGTGCGGTGGTCAATGTTGCCAACGTTCCGGCGGCAGCGGGGAGTCTGCGGGCCAGAGAGGAGCTTGCGGAACACAGGCAAAGTATTGTGGATGAGTATAGGAAAATGATCGCAACCAAGAGGGGGTAACGAGATACTATATATATAAAAGATATTCGCAATTGAGGAATGATGGACCATTGTCTATTAGCCCTCGTCCAAAACGGGAACTTTTATTAGATGATAGGTTTGTGTAAGTCTACTTAAAAATACACATATTTCTGTAGACTCTCACAGGAACTCTTTATTATGCCAAACAATCTATCTTCACGAACACCCACCCAAAAATAAAATAAAAAATATAAAAAATAATACATAATCTACCCCCCCTTAATATCCTTCACATAGGCTGCAGCCCGCGCCTTAACCTCATCCACCATTTTCTCATTCCCGCCACCAACCTTCTCCTCAAACGCCAGCCACTTCTTAAAAAAGAATTTGGCTTGTTTATCCTTCAACCTCTTGGGCCCAGTTTTGGTCCCATCCGCAGCAATGCCATGGCCCAGGCCCAAAACTCTTTCGAACAGCCTTCTAACCTGCTCCGCGTCACCATTCTTAATCTCCAGATCAAGCAGCACATTCCAAAGATCAACGCGCTTGGGAAACGAGGAGAGAAGAGCTTCGAATACCGTTCGGCCACGTTCAATGTCTCCATTTGGAGATCGGAATTCCAGCTGGCCGAATTTGGATGTGATGTCGACGTGGGTGTGGGCTGGGAGTGATTGGATAGCACGCGGGAGAAGTGCGCGTCCTCGTTGGGGGTCAGCAAGTGTGTCGAAGAGGAAGGTGGCATAGTTGATGTAGATATTTGGCGATTGGGTGAATTTTTTCTTGAGGGTTGTTTGGAAGAGCTCGTCGGCTTTCTGCAGAGGTAATTCGTCAGTAAACTTTCCTGTTAATGGAATAAAAATGGTGCCTCCTGGTGAAAAATGATCGTACATACCTCATTCTTCCCGGACTGGATGTATATACTAGTCATCCGCTCATGGATCTCTTGAGGGTCATTGTACTGACAAGCGCGCTTGAAAACATCCTCAAGAGAGTCGTCATTTCCAAAGATATTCTCTAGGTTGAGCATTGCGATCCAGATATTGAATTTTTCAGCATCTTGGCCGATCCTTATTGATCGAAGAGCTCGTTCCGCAATCTCGCGAGCCTTATCCACCTCACTGAGTTCAAGTTGGAAGGCCATGTATTTCAGCCAGAGCAAACTCGAATCTGGTTCGCCTAGCAATAAACGCTCGTAGTCGGCTATAGATTGCGGACCGTGAGCGTCAAGATCACCAGTTCTATCAACCTGGATCTCAGGTTTCCGGCGTTTCTTCTTCTTCAGAACCGCTTGGCCATCGGAGCTGGAACCAGAATCATTGGCCTCATCAGCGCCGGTAGTTCCACTCCCATTCCAGTCAAACCCAGATGTTACCAAGCCTCCAGTTACACCCGTATCTTCGGTCCCTGCCATCTGCACATCCTCGTCGCTGACATTACTCTCGCTGCCGTCACCACCACCCAAGTCGACTCCACCCATTGAAACGTCATCATCGGATTCAAATTCAAGCTCAAGCTCACCACCATCCTCGCTTTCACTAACGCTTTGTTCATTCCCATCTTCGCTGTTTTCACCATCCGATTTGTCATCGCTTTCTTTGAAATAAGAGGCTTTCAGCCCCAAAGATATTCGCTCCTTGTCGTGGTCGATCTTGAGAATTTTGGCCTTGACTATGTCACCCTTCTCAAAGAGCTTTCGAGCATCTTCCACTTTTTGCTCCGCCATCTCCGTGCGATGGCAAAGTCCACTAAGATTAGCGGTTCCATCGATCACAATGAAAGCTCCAAATTCTTCGACACTGCGGACTTTTCCGGTTACAATCTGTCCGCGATTTAAGTCCCTGATCGTGATGGGCGCCTTATAGTTCGGTTCAAGAACCGACTCCTTCAAACTCATCTGGAGTTTATTGGCTTCAGCGTCCACAAAAATTATTCTTCCATGAACGAGTTGGTCGACTTGGAACTCAGACTGCCAGTCTTTTAGATAAGAATCTGAAAGATCCGATATTCGGACATAGGCTGTAACTTCGTGACCTAGAGTAACAAAAAGACCATTATTTGCAACTCTGCGGACAAATCCACGAACAATGTCATTAACCTTAAGTTGGCTAATCGATTTTATCTCAGGATCTTCAATTGGTAACGATGAGCTAAGGACCCTGGAAGGTCGAACAGAAAGCAATATCTTCTTGTTAGGGACGTCAACGTCCAAAATACAAACACGAAGAACCTCGTTTTTGTGAAAATTCGCCGGAATCACTTTCGTATAGTCATCGGCCATGTCTATCAAATTGATAGCACCAACTGTCGTGTCGCTTAGCTGCACAAGGACCTGGCGGTCACTGACTTTAGTAACTCGACCAAGTAAAATTTCCCCCTTTGAAAAATCCGATATTGTCCTCTTGTTGAGAGGGTCTCCATGTTTTGCAGAGAGGTCAAGCCGATTCTTATCCACGTTAACGCCTGTAACATGGACCTTAATTGCGGACCCAACAGGAAAATTTTTCGTTACATCCCCCACAAGTGACAAGTCGTCTGAAACGTCGGTGATTCGAAGCCTTCCACGCACGTTTGGGGTGATATTTATCCATAGACAATCGTCACCGATATTATTGACGAACCCTAGCCATGACGATCCAATTTCGACTTTATCAAGGCTTAGAAGTTCAATGTCTTTCGATTCTAGGGAGCTGGGTTTTGCTGAAAGCTCGAAAACAGGGTATTTCCCACTGCGATGGCTGATTGGCAAAAATTTGTGACTGCGAGCATCGTGGATGCCAATGATTCGAACAGGAATTATCTGTTTGGGCTTAAAATATCGCAATGGCTGTTTACGGTCTTTGATAGCGTCCCATCCATCAAATATTTCTGATACATCGATACGGCCTTGAATATTGTCGGCGAGCTGCACATTTATCTGAGTTTCTTTAACAGAAACGATCTTGGCCTTGGTAATTCTGCCAAAAGTCAGGTCGTCAAAAGATTTGATATCCCCATCAACAGGGTTGATGGATGCCTGATTGGCATTGCTGGCGGGCCGTGCATTATCAGACACACGCTGCTTGCTAGTTTGGTTTTCCTTCATCGATAAAGTGAATCTTTGGCGGTCGTCTTCGATAGAATGTACAAATGAGGAGATTGTTTGAGATAGGGTATATCCGAAGTCGGGTTTTGCGACATGGTCATCGTCCATGAGCCGCTTTGGAAGAAATCCAGTGAGCCCTCTCAGGAATTCCACAAACAAGCCATCTGCGATAATGTTCTTTACAAAGCCGGTCACCTTCGATCCTTCCTGAAAATCTTCAAATTTGGCAGGTAATTCACCTCGTTGACGGGCTTGCTTGAGGCTAGGCTTATTAGAAACCTTGATAAGCCTGTGAACCTTCTGCATACTGAGAATTACGAGGTCGTGGAGTTTCTGACCGACCCTGATGCAAGCAAGGGCACTCCCATGTTTAGAAGATTGCCCATCGGTGACATGTTCTGCATTTAACCTTGCGACCAACCCAGAACCTTCCAGTCTCAGGAGTATAACTTCCTTGGATTTTTCAAAGACGGTGCAAGAAACAAGATCTCCAGGTTGGATATTCTCAAACGCATTTTTGTAAGTTTCTGTGGATGTCGACGGGTCCTTGCAGGAGACTACCAACTTTCTCACCTCTGCGTGAACAGTCAGTGCATGCACATTCACAACTTGCCCGACGATGAAATGCTGAGTGCTGAGATGGGTCTTTGATGTATGCTTCGCTCATTTCCGAGACCGGGAGAAAACCGCGGACTTCCCCATAAAACTGAACAATTGCCCCGTGAGGGTGGATGCTGATAATTGTTCCCGGTGATTGATTCCCTGGAAGAATATCACTATACTCTTTCCAAGCTGGAGATTCGCTGTTCAGCAATGACTTTTTCAAAGTAAGTCGCAGCTGGCGTTTCTCCAGGTTGACGGAAAGGATCCTAGCGGAAACCTGTGTTCCCTCGCGAAATTTCCTTTCTGGGTGCTGTAATTTAGTATCCGACAGGTGCATTCTGGGAACCAAACCAGAAATACCATCTGCAAGAGAAACAATAAGACCATCAATACCATCAGGCCCAGTTAACAGTTTCTCAATCTTTCCTTTGACAACGGCGCCGACTGTCACATCTTCAAGACGTAGGAAAGGCTGGTCAATTACTTTCCTTTCGAAGGATAGAAGGTATAGATTGTCCAAGGCACTGAAACCAACTATTCTTGCCTCGTGCGTAGAGTCAACTTTGTAGGGCCCTTGGGTCGCAGATATGCTGTCGACCTTGTCATCCGAGAGTCTGGAAATATGGACAAAGCCATAGTGCTTGTTGTTAAATTGGACGTAGACACCCAAGCCGGGTTCAACTTTAGTGACTTTTGCTTCAGGTACGATGGCGGATACGGCCGGGATATCCTCAGAGGTGGAATATTGCTCAAGAACGGTTGGAGAAAACTTGACCACGTGCTCGAGAATGGAAAACCCGAGTTTCGAAGGTTCGACAGTGGGAAATGTGCAGATGAGTCGCCCTTTAATCTTTGCACCAACATGATACTTGGTGGTGAGATTTTCTGTTCCAGTAGTCGAACCGGACTGAACTAGGTCAACGACTGCGTCTAGCATTCCCATGATCTTGCCTGCCATACCCGTCGACGTTACTTCATTTAAAAGGATCTCTGCGGCGGTTCCGGGAAGGAAAGAATTAATAGTTGGTGCGGAAGTTAAATAGTGTGATTTTTTGATGGAGCCAGCAGCTGGGAGATTTGCAGATAGCTTCACGACGCTGCCATTCGCATTGTGTCCGGTAACCACACAGAGAAAAACAGAGCCTTCCTTTATCTGAGAAACCTCAAGATCCGGGGGGATTTCCTTTGAAGACATGAACCCTTTCGTTTGGCCGTCATCCAAGCCCAGGTCCATCACCAGACCATGATCCTCCACACTCACCACAGACGCCTGCACAGTGGTATTGACAACCATATCAGATTTAGAAAGTCCAGAATTGGCATCTCGAGGATCCACTGAAAGTTGGATGTGTTTTTTCCCCTTGGTTTGAGGATTTTTCGTCTCGCTCTCCGTTGCGGTAACGGACGCTCGAAGGTACTGGCCAAGCTCAAAATACGATTTCAAGTCCAAATCCTCCTCATCGTCACTGTCACCGTCGTCAGATCCTTCATTCTCATCTTCGTTGCTGTTTAGGAGCTTCTCGATTTTCTGCTGGAATGTTCTTGAGATTGAAGTGAGCGGAACGTAGCCAGTTAAATTATTTGGCAGCGACAGGCCAATGTCATGGGCATTGATGCTAGAGACTTGGCCAAGGACCTTGGAGCCTATAACAATGCGCTTTGGGGAAGACAAGAATATCAGTGGAGGTGATTCAATTGAGATTCATTCACACCCTTCAGAGCATGACTACGGGCAACATACCTTGAAGTTGAGTCCTTCGATGCGCACAGCTTGCTTTGTGGGATCTTCAGAAGCTGCTTGTTTCTTGGCCTTGGACTTCACTTTCTTGACCTTAACCCCAGATGATTTACCAGATTTCTTGTGCCCTCTGTCCGCTTCATCCATATTATCATCTTGTTGTCCAGCGGCTCCGTTCTGCTCGAAAAGAACATCGCGAGTTGCCTGAATCTGGATTTGTTTTTGCTCAAGAGGGGTTAAAATGTTCCCCCCACCACGAGGGAACATAGGTTCCTCCTCTCGCAAAACTGAAACTGCTGGAGCCTTGGAAGGTAGATCCGAAGAATCTCTTGAATTCTCCGCCTGAGACTTTTTCCCTCCCTTGGCACCCTTGCGCTGCCCACCATCTGTGACCTTGACTCTCTTCTGTGGCTGTCGAGAGTCTGGCTCTTCGGGGCCATTGCCCTTTCTCTTGAGGGGAGCCATGGCTCATCACAGAATCTGGCAGGGCAATTGAGTGCTCACAGCTCTGTTGTTGTTGTCTATATCACAAGCCCCCATCCTTTTTACAAGGCGCGGATGTGCTGAAAAATCGAAAATTCTCCTTTAAGCATAGCGCGGTCTCCGTTCAGCAAAAGCAGCACCGACAGGAGGGACCAAACCCTTTTGGATCTAGCGCAGTTCCCCACCGTTAGCGTTTCCCACGGCTGCGTTTAATGCACGGGCCACTCTGACTAATCTCTCGCGTTCTTGACAACCCGGTGAACGCGCATGGCCTTTGGCAGGTGTTTTTCGCGGAGGCTCCGCTCGGCACGTGTGTGATTTCCCAAGTGTCGCGACGACGTGCCTGGGACAGAGCCTCAATATCAAATGGCGCTCTCTCTCCTGGTCTTCTTGACAACCTTCACTGCGCCATCTCCTCTCACCTGCAATTCACCATTCACCATAGTTACGGTGTCTCACTTCTGAATCTCAGGAATATCGTCTTCTGTGCATTAAAATTTATAGTTAATCTCTAATAGCAACCGAGCTATGGACTGCGCTCTCGGGTCCTCCTGCTCCTCCCCTTCGATATATGTCATGTCGGATCTCCCCCAAGGATCTCAGGATACTATACCATCCTCACCTCCCAGGTTCAATGCTCCAGCAATACCCTCATCTCCTCCTCGAACCAAAACAAAAAAGCCTCCTTCAGTTACCCCCAGATCTTTCAAGCGGTTTTTCACCCCGCGCTCTGTTCTGGGTGCCCTTGCAAGCGGAGGGAACGATCGTGCCAGTCGGCATGCATTTAAAGATACCCACTCCCCAGCATTGAATCGACTTGGGCCATCCTTCGCAGGGATAGCAGACGCATCCCGTGATGGCTCAGGTAAATCTCCAACGCACGAAAGAGTCTCTACCCCGCTCAGGAAGCGGAAGTTGTCGTTTTCCTCCAGCCCATCTCTTCAATCGTCTCCAATTAGGAGAGTACGGATTGCACGGGATGTTCTTCATAGTGATATGGACTCCAGTCCCAGTAGGCCGAAGCCTGATAGCATTGACTTCGAATCTGTGCCGCGATTGTACCTTCAAAAACGCAAGCAACATATCCCTCCGCCTCCACCTCTTCCTTTACGCCGTTCTAATGTGCTTCAAACGTCCGGTCAATTCTTTGTACGCAGCCTCTCATATAAAAGATCAGGCAAGCTAACATTACGCTACAACTACAGTACAAGTATGTCGTAGATCCTTCAGTTAATATTTTCCCTTGAACTAATGGACCTATTTGAAACAGCCTGGCGGGACGAAGTTTCCAGTTTCTATAGCTTGCCTGATGACGTTCATGAATGCTCGTATAGAGATCAGCAGGGAGAACGTCTCACTCTCCCATTTTGCACTGTTGCTTGTCATAGTGTGTAATCTCCCGCTTTATCCCCCTGTTAATTTGCAATCCATTCCTAAAATCATCGATTACAGCCAATTCTCTAGTAGCGGTTGGAGACGAAGAAGGAGGTATCCGACTGCTGGATTCCGCTAAAGATGACCAAGCCGGTTTCTCGAAGGCGTTTCTCTCATTTCAGCCGCATACGAACTCCATTATGGATCTAGATTTTTCTTCGGATGATACGCTTCTAGCCACTGCATCTGGTGATCAAACAGCCCGGATTATTGATATGCCCACTCAAACTTCGATCTTCTGTCTATCCAAACATACATCATCTGTCAAACGGGTACAATTTCAGCCTGCTTCTAATAATAATATAGTCGCAACCTGCAGCCGCGATGGCAGCGTTAATATTTGGGACCTGCGATACAAAGCCTTTGACAGGCCCGCGGTGCAACTGCGCTGTTCCCTTGCATCAGATGAGGATGACTCTACAAAGCTAACTACAACTAAAATGAAATACGCCCAAGTAGCTAATAATATCTGGTCAGCACATGCGGAAAAACCCCGCCCCAAAACAGGCCAAGAAACTGAGGCCCTGGCACGCCGAGATGATATATCAGTCACGTCCATCGCATTTCTCAACCCTGGCCGTGAAAACCTCTTTGTCACGAGCAGTGAGTCAAATGCCTGTGTGAGGCTGTGGGATATGCGAACTACATACTCCTTACGGCGCAAAACACCCATCCCCCTGGCCATAACCAGACAGCCAGACAGCCACGAGAAATACCGCCAATTCGGGCTGACATCCATGGCTTTCAGCGGCGACGGGAGCAGACTCTACACCCTCTGCCGTGATGGAAGTATCTACGCATACTCAACATCCCACCTGACTCTCTCAAGTTGTCCAGAAATGATTCGATGCAGCACAAGCTTCAAACGCTTTCCAAGCGACGAAGCCAAACCAGGTCTAGGCCCCTTGTATGGCTTCCGCCATCCACGTCTCCAAGTCGCAACGTTTTTTGTCAAACTCGCCGTTCGCCAGCCTGTCAACGACAAGAACGAAATGCTCGCCGTCGGCAGCAGTGATAACTGCGCTGTTGTCTTTCCAACTGACGAGCGGTACCTCACCCCACCCTCTTCCACGCCAGCGCCCGATACAGTACTCAATCAAGGAAGGACGCCACGCCGTGCCGGCCTTCGCAAGTACCAGTCCAGCAATGTAGGATTGTCAGGGCGTTTGGAAGATTCCATCCCGATATATCAGCACGGCGCAGCGTTGGTCGAGGGGCATAAGAAAGAGGTATCGGGTGTTTCGTGGACGAATGTTGGGGAACTTATCACCGTCAGTGACGATTTGCACGCTCGATGTTGGAGGGAGGGGCCTGAGGCGCGGGACTTGAGGGTTGGAGGGAACATGGAGGGTAGGAGGTGGCAGTGTGGATGGGCTGATGTGAAGGATTCTGCTGATGATGAGGACGAGTAAAGAGAAATATCGAAGAACGAATTCTTGCCTATATCCTCTTCTCTGCATCTGCATGATGGTCTATATTGCTTGGTGGATTCTTAATTCTTCTTTTTCCTTTCATTTTAACTCGTTTCAATGGGCATTCAGCAGATGGCGTTTGCGGGGACCCCTTTTGTCTCACTCCTTTGGAACATTCTCATTCATATCTACTTAAATTAAAAAGTGTAAGAGCTAGCGTACATTACTATTCTATATACCAATAATGACTTGGATATTTTCAGTAGTAACAAGTTGCCCTTGCATCATTGTTATTCGGAGGTTCATCAGAGCCCTTGAAGAACACAAGATAATTCAGTTACGTAGATTTATACATGGTGAAAATAGGATTGGACATGAAGAAATTTATGATAACATATATGTAATATACGCTCCTTATAGTCTTTTAAACTTTTTGTTGATCGTTCCCTACACAAGATCTGAAAGGGGAATGACAACAAAAGGAAATAGTTGGATGTTATCAAACCCACTCCTCAAGAAGAATAACAACTCATTCTCTTAGTGGTGTCCATGCCCATCATCCTCAGCCCTCCTCTCTGGATCAAGTTTAATCAGCGTATCGATTCTCATAATCGCAATACAAGCCTCCACCGCACTCTTCAGTTGCTTAATTTTACTCATGCTAGGTTCCAGGACACCCGCTTTAACACAATCGACAACCTTGCCCTTGGTGAGATCGAGGCCGTAGTTTCTATACATCTTCTTCTTGGCGATGGCTTTTTCTTCCTCGTTGGCGTCGCCTTCTTGGACGCGCTGGGAGAGGGCGTGGCGGACTCGGAGCTGCGCGACGAGTTCCGAAGAGTCCTTGGCTGCATTTATAGCAAGGGTTTTGGGGATGATGAGGAGAGATTGGGCGAACTCACCAATGGCGAGCTGCTCGCGGGAGCCCTGTTGAGATCTTGTTAGTATATTTGATGGATCAAGATAGTCACAATAATGCTTAAGAGCGGGTATAGTTGCGGGTAATGTTTCGGCCTACCACTGTGACTGCAAATTCCTCAAGGTAGATATGCAGTGCGGTCTCTACAGCTCCTCCGCCGGGAACGATACTTCCGCTCTCCAATGCCCTCTTGACGGCGCACAGAGAATCGTGTACGGATCGTTCCATCTCATCGAGTTGGAAATCGTTTGAGCCACGCAGGATAATCGAAGCAGCAGTGTGAATCTTTGTGCCCTTGATTAGGATGCATTCATCGTCAGATATCCGCTCCTGTACCACCTCCTCCGCATGTCCCAAGCTAGACGGGTCAAATTTATCATCACCATTAAGATCAGATAGCGTGCTAACTAGCGTCGCTCCCGTGGCCTTCGCGATACGTTTAAGGTCTTCCTTCTTGCATCTTCTAACTGCCATCGCACCCTTCTCGACGAACGTCTTGAGACAAAGGTCATCAATTCCCTTGGTAGTGAGAATGACATTTGCACCCGCTTTTAATATCAGCTCGATTCTCTCGAGAACAATTCCGGCCTCTCTCTCACGGATCTTCTCGAGCTGTTGGGGGTCATCAATGGTAACATGGACACCAAGTTTCATCCTCTCCTTCTGCAAATTCATATCAAGACAGGCGATCTTCGCATCGGTAATTCGAGTCTTCATGGCTTGTGATGCAACTGTGCAATTAAGAGCGTAACCATTAACAAGAATCGATTCAGTAGCACTCTTTCCATGGGCCTTGAGCAAGTTGACAGCTTTCACTGGGTATTTGACCTCATTTCGCGGCGTGGTCGTTTTCACTTGTTGCATCGCATCAACCGCCATGTTAGCGAAAAAATCCGCATCAGCGCCTATGATCTTGCTTGACATTGATGTCTTTGCAATATTTATCAAACTATCCCTCCCTAGGTGCTCTACTTTTGTGCTGATGTTCTCATTCATATACTTCACAGCTTCCCGGAGGGCCAATCGGTATCCAGTGATGATCGTAGTGGGGTGTATCCGGTTCTTCATCAGCTCGTTCGCTCGTCGTAAAAGCTCTGCCGCAATTAGGACAACGGAAGTCGTTCCATCACCAACCTATAGATAACATATATTTTTAGAAATGAACGGGAAAAACGGGGAGAAGTAGAGGGAATACAGAACCGTACCTCCTTGTCTTGTTGCTTTGCCAGATCCACCAGGATTTTCCCCGCAGGGTGTTCAATATCTAACAAGCTCAGAATAGTGGCTCCGTCATTGGTAACAGTGACATCCTAATCTAATATCAATACCTCTACTTAACCAGGTTATATCCAGGAGAGTTTCATCATGGCTTACCCCGATGTCATCCACCATCATTTTGTCAAGCCCGGAAGGGCCAAAGGAGCTCTTCACCACGTTGGCAATAGCTTGAGTGGCCAGTACTAAGAAACACTAGGTAAACAGCTTGATATATAATATATATGTTGAATAACGGTCACATACCATTCTGATCTCGAATATCAGCACCGCTGATTTTCTGTCCTCCTAGAACTGTCGAAGCTGTTAGTTCATCTTCCCCTCGACATTAAAGAGCAAGGCAGCTCACAGAGTTGTCCCGCATTGCGAGGAGACTCAAAAAGCCCCGCCATATCAAATCAAACAGTCAAAAGAGTAATTAAATGCGAAGATAGAAGCTTTCTGGTGACCGTTGCTCCCCCTCAGTTTTTGCTGGTGACTTTTTGATTGAATATTCGGAGGAGAGATATTCTTGATTGTCATTCTGCCGGTCAATTAGGCGGTGAAGTTTTTTGAGAACATTCATCTAACTCTAGCTAAAAGACATGACTCCTCTCTGCTTCGTAGCCCGGACACCAGCTTCAATTCCACATACAACCCACGAATCTTGCCTATATTGAATATTTGGACACTTTGAAATGTCGTCGCAACAACTACAGGATGACAGTAGCGCCTCAGCACACCCTGTGCAAGCTGTAACCCAACTTCTCCCTGATCGCACGATGGACCCCGCTACTGGAGAAAACCACCCTGCTGGCGAGGTATCCAAGAACGCAGCCAAAAAGGCCGCGAAGAAGGAGAAACTAGCTGCTGAAAAATCTGAGAAATCGGCAAACAAGGGTATAGGCAAATCCGAAGCTAAAAATGTGACAACGCAAAAAGCTTCCAAGAAAAAACCAGACGGCCCTGCGCTTATTGGTATCGATGTTTTAAAAAATGATGATTTCCCAGGTTGGTACCAACAGGTGCTATTGAAGGGAGAAATGCTGGATTACTACGACGTGTCGGGTTGTTTTATTCTGAAGGTGCATTTTCCCTTATGCAGAAACTATATGTCCCATTCAAATATTTTGAAACCTCTCGCTAATCAATGTCATTGCACCCATTTCCTAGCCACATTCTTACTTCATTTGGGAGACAATACAAACGTGGTTTAATGACAAAATTAAGAAGATGGGAGTTAAGAATTGCTCTTTCCCGCTATTCGTGTCTGAAGACGTTTTGAACAAGGAAAAAGACCATATAGAGGGATTCGCGGCTGAAGTTGCTTGGGTTACTCATGCGTTAGTCTAGGACCTCACGCCACGTCTTGATCTCTCTAAATGATTACCTATACGCCTACTGACATCAACGAAAAGAGGAAATTCCAAGTTAGAGCGAAAGATTGCTATCCGTCCCACATCTGAAACAGTTATGTATCCGTACTACGCCAAGTGGATTCGAAGCCATCGCGACCTCCCTCTCCGCCTTAATCAATGGAACTCTGTCGTCAGATGGGAGTTTAAGAACCCCCAGCCATTCCTCCGCACCCGTGAATTTCTCTGGCAAGAGGGCCACACCGCACATTTGACTGAGGCAGCTGCGCGCGAAGAAGTGTTGCAGATCCTGGAACACTATGCACATGTCTACGAGGAACTTCTTGCTGTCCCAGTCATCAGGGGCCAGAAGACCGAAAAGGAAAAATTTGCAGGTGGTCTTTATACGACCACGGTTGAAGGCTACATCCCAGCTACGGGACGTGGTATTCAGGGAGGAACGTCTCATGGCCTGGGTCAAAACTTCAGTAAAATGTTTGGCATTACCGTCGAAGACCCATCTGCCAAACCTGACGAGAAGAAACCTGCCCTTCATGTTTGGCAAAATTCTTGGGGTCTGTCTACCCGCACCATTGGTATCATGGTCATGGTTCACGGCGACGACCGGGGGTTGGTACTTCCCCCGCGGGTTGCAGATGTTCAGACCGTGATTATTCCTGTTGGTATCACCGCCAAGACGACTGATAAAGAGAGAGCGTCCCTATACGCCGAGATTGATGCGCTAGCAGCTGTCATCGAAGATGCTGGCGTCAGAGTTGAGGTCGACAAACGAGATAACTCCCCCGGCTGGAAATTCAACGACTGGGAACTCCGTGGCATTCCGCTTCGACTCGAATTTGGCCCAGGGGAATCGACTGGCCATTTCGTGACGACTTCTCGCCGTGATATTCCTGGCAAGGATGGAAAATCCACGATTCCCATTTCCGAACTTAAGACTCAGGTCCCTGCCCTCCTTGAAACAATACAGGCCGATCTCTACAAACGGGCAGAGAAAACCTTCCGTGCTCACGTAAAGCATATCACCAACTGGGATGATTTTTCCCCCGCTCTTAACGAAAAGAATCTTTGCCTGATTCCTCACTGTTTGACAGAGCAGTGTGAGGATGAGATCAAGGATATGAGCGCCCGAAAAGTGGAAGAAGAGACTGGTGAGGCCCAGGACGCAAAGGCCCCAAGTATGGGTGCGAAGAGCTTGTGTATACCTTTTGAGCAGCCGCCTGGCATTGAGAAGGGAGTCACGAAGTGCACGAACCCTAATTGTCAAAGATTCGCCGAAAATTGGTGCTTGTTTGGACGTAAGTTGCAACTCTCCTTTATTTCTCCTTCCCAACGTATATTTCATCATTGTGCTTTATGTTTAGTTGCCGACTACAGAAACTAATACATGTTCACTCATAGGCTCCTACTAAGCAAATGGTCGCCCTTATCCTGCTAAGTTTAGGACCCCAGCTTTATCCCCTTAATCCTTTATGCAAGAATGTGATATTCCTGCTTAACGGCCCACGAATTCCCTTTGTCTGACAGACCCCAATGGTTTCTAGTTATGGCGTGATGTTTTCGATCAACGGGATAATTTGAGCAAAAATAAAGATAAATACAATAACGGTATTTGGTACGGAGATTCTGCTGTTTCTGTAGTTTGTACTCATTTCGCATATATACCCACGTACACCCATCTCATGCCTACTTTCGGGATTTCATTGGGGCTGCTTGGTGCATCTAACCTCGGTCTTATTTTCCAAATTTCATGTCTTTGCCTGGTAGATTTCAAAGGGACTCTCATCATCCCTGACTCCTATTTAATAATAATGCACATGATAAACATGAGTAATATAGAAATATCACTGGCCTCCATTCATCGGAGAATCCCTATTATTAATATGATAGTATGATTAGTTAATGGTTTTTCAAATATAAATACTAAATTAGAGAATATAATATATTCTCAATTTGGCAAAATATAACAAATGGTGTCGTGGTGTAGTTGGTTATCACGTGAGTCTAACACACTCAAGGTCCCCAGTTCGAACCTGGGCGACATCATCTTACATATAAACTTCTATCTATAGAAGTTCCAGTTCTCCTTTTTTTCTGTGTTTTTCTTTCTTGTAAAGTCATTTATGAGAGATTCCCAATTTATTACCTAGTATTTGACTCTTTATTCAATCTCATTTCAGTCTATCTTACTGTGTCCCTATATTGTGAGTGCTCAGAAAAGGATTGTGGAAATGAATAAAGACACTATATGTCATGATTAAAGGGGGAATTGATGAATGACAATCACGAGGGTTGAGAAAAATTTCCAACAACAAATCCGTAAGAGAATGAATGGTGTAACAGGATCATGAAAGGTGGATTATTTATATTTATATCTCTATCTATGCAACTCCGTCCTTCGGTATATACTGCATGTATGTACTGATCCTCGGTTTCCAAATAATATGTCTATATAATCAAGCAAAAATCAATACAAGACCAAAAGAAAGTAAATAGTGGTGGGAACTTTGGAAACGAGCATTGAAAGCAAGAAAAATGTTGTGAAATATACAGAGATGAGATAGAGGAAAGATGAAGCCGACTTTGTCGCCCTAAATGTGTGCAACAGTAGTTGAAATATGTATAACAACGAAAAGGGAAAATTGTATGAGGGGAATCTGAATAAACAAGAGATGAGAAAGAAAAAGAGCCCAATATCTAACTGACTGATATACAGAGGTAGAATAAATAGATAGCGGGAAAAAATCTGAAAGTTAAAACAAAATATGACCCGTTCCCAAATGACCCAAGAAAAGATAAAATAATAACTCCAAAATCGCCAAATTCGCTCCTTATATTTAGACTGATATCGATTTTGAGAATGGGGTATTTCCAAAGGTATACCCGATATGTATTGCAGAATTTATGCGCCCCCAATTGCCCTCTTTTGTAAGAAAGTCTGCTGTGCATGGGTTTTGTTGCTATTAGGAGACATGAAAATGAATGAAGGCGGAAAATTTAAACCAGGGAATATGAAGACAAAGGAAACAGATAGGATGCGTAAAGGAAGTAGAACAGTTCAAATGGGGGTGTTGAGGTGGTAGCGCGCCTGATGTATCACAGAAAGCTCTTTGTTTTATGGATGACTTGGTGGGAGACGTATAGAAGGATGGAATAGCACCTATGTTTCAGAATATCAGAAGGCCCCTAGAGAATTTTGGTATGTCATGATTGCTGGTTCAAGCCACATCTCCCACGACCGCTGGTATCACATCTGGAGTCATCGACAGGAAAAAGCGCTGGGTATGTGCCAGAAATGGCTTATTAAAATGGGGATGTCGTGGAATTTAAATCAAGTCGGCGAGGTGTCCGGAAAGATCAAGAACGGCGGTTCCTTGCTAGTACCATGAACAAATCGTACGGTGCCGAAACGAAACTAAATTTGTGGATGGTAAAGTAAAACCATCGATCACAGTCTGAATCTCCCTGAATCAAACAAGTCCTTTGTAAGACTGCTTCTGCGAAGAGGTATCAGATTCCTGACAATTGGTTGAGGGGAAGTGTTAAATAACCGTTTGACTGGCGTTGTTTGAGACGACTGCGAGGGCGAACTGGAGGTAGGGGTTTTAGATTCAGAGGGAGAACGTGATCTAGGGGCTAGGTCAAATATATATTTATTCTCTTCATCCCTAACGTGGTCGAATTGAAATTTAGGCGCCTCCGGCTCTGTATGCGCTGCGGTCGTGTTCCTGCAACTGCTGGACTTCTGCTTCGTTTCTGGTTTGGCGGCCCGAGTCTGTTGGCTCGGTCGACGAGGCTGTGAGAGTTTTGAGGAGCCAGAAGTGCCAGAAGTGCCTTGCCTGGAGGGGGGGACTTTAGGACGAATGCTATGGGAACTCATTGGGCAGACATCCGGCATTAGTTTGTAGGTATATTTGGGTCGTGAGATATTTCCAGGAAGCCCCCGATTGGCCTTCTTAGCCTCTTCCCAGAGTTCTCGTGGAAATTCAGGGGCAACCAGGGTGCTCGTCTGTAATGGCTGACAGTAGGTATGTCTTCTT